ACAAACTAACTCTAGGAGGTACCTATACGTGAGCGGGTTCATCAGGTCTTCTTTTAGGTCGACCGACACACAAACACCTCCTGCAGCTGTCACGGCATCCTCAATCTGCCGCCGGCTCTCTCCAGCAAACAAGTTAAGAACTACCTTCCCAGCCTTTTTAAGTTTTCGCCTAAACCTACGATTCCAGACTAAGGTCTCATGTGACTGCTCTGGCCACGCTGCAACTGCGGACTTCACATCATTTGGGATTTGGGGCCACATGCGTCCTGCTGCAACATGCAAAGCCGAACCAACGTCCCCATCAACCCGCACGTCGTGAATCAACTTGTCTAAAAGCTCAATTTCAGTGTTGTGCGCTGTGCGGATTTCGAGCGTTCGTGCACACAGGTCATTGGCGAAGCTCCACATGCGATGTTGCTCAATTTCGGCGATCAACTTGTATGCCTCAGTTTCTGACACTCGGGGGCATCCGGAGGTAGTGAAAACGTCAATCTTTCCGCGTTGTGGGTGAGCTAGCACACACCTTCGGCCCGACCAGTCTAGCCGACATCCAAGCTCGATAAGCTGTCCTAGGGAGACGATCGGCTCAGCCTCTTGATAGGTGACAAGTGTGCCTAGCGAGTTGACCCATAACATCGCGGAACCTGACGCGAGATTCACTTCATGTCTCCTGAGAGCACTCAAGTCCTCGCCCTCAAGTTTCGGTCTAAGGCACGCACTGGCACCGGAATCGATCAAGCCATACTTGCAACTAAGGCCCCGGCCGTCCGGCACGCCCAGATGGGCTGCGTCAGATGGCTCAAAACTCGCGCGGTCGTTTTGGAACAATTCTGGCACCAACTCAGCGCCGACATTGAGCGCTTTAAGCTGCAGGGACCGCAGCAAGTTCGTGGCCTCTTGCATCATTTGGGCGCTTGATGCTCCCAGCTGCCCCTCCCCCGAACCTGCACTAGCAGCTTGGGCGGACTCCGCGGCGCTCATGGCCTCAGCCTTCTTAGCGCTCTTGGTTCCCCCCTTGCCCTTGGCTTTGGGCAGGGTATCCTCAACCTTAGCAGCTTCAGGGTTTTTGCGGGGACATGCATCTTTCATGTGACCAGTGGCACTGCATAGAAAACACCTGCCAGTTCCCTTACCTATGGGGGCATGCGTAAAATGACACTTATCGGCATAGTGACATCCAGCTTCAGTCATCCAGTGCTTGCATGCTGGTTTCGGATTGCCCTTTCCACCCTTACCACCACCCTTCGCCTCAGCACCCTTCCCCTTGGACTCCCCACCACCCGGCGTCTCAACCCGAGCAACCTTATGTTTCTTGGGGTCCTCACTCAATGCTGCAGCCTCGCACTCGGCCAACAAAAGCTCAGCGTACTTACTGACAGCATCCTGGTTGGGAAGCAAGTGGTTCGTCCTAAAGGTTTGAAGGCGAAACAACGAAGAGGTGGACAAATTCGGAGGATGAAGACTGTCTAGACCTTTCACCTGCAACGACGGGTCTGGGAGATTCAGGCCAACCTCAGTCGATCTGACAATCCAACGACGCCATTTCCTGATAGCCTTGACTGCGGCATGCGCAGTTGCACTGCTTCCTGGGTGTGTAATGTAGTTAAGCAGTTGTTCACGCTCTGCACTTCCCCCAGGTTGGTACTTACACATGGTCTTGTACACGATTGCAGCGGTCGAAAACAATCTAGACGTAACTATGTCCTCACGCAAATCTGCACCAACACATTTCAGCAACATGGGCACTGCTTTCTGCTCTACCCTACTGAATCTACCGGTTTGGTGAAGTTCAACAAGGGCTTCGGGGTAAATACCAAGTCGGTCGAGAGGTGATGCGAGTAGCCAACGTGTGTACAACTGTTTCGCCTCACGCAACACATCTCCCCACCACTCACGCGCTCCCTGACTCAACGACGACATGGTGGGACCCAACGTTGCCAGCCAATCACCTGCAGTAATACTGGAGTTAGTAGGATCATACTTGTCAAGTTGGGGAAGCTCAGGCACGTACTTGATGGGTTCTTCAGGTTGCATTTCGGCTTGAGCTCTAAGGCCTGGAGGTGGGGGTGGCCTAATTTCAGTACCTCCTGGGCTCACTGGGTACTTCAACCCACTGCTGACACCTACGGCCTTTCGAGCAGGGCTACTTCTACCTCTGTCCTGACCGGGCTGCTTTCTTAAGAATTCGGGAATGGGTGGAGGCTCACCGGGACGCAAGGCATCTTGATACAGCTGAACATAGTTCTCATACCCAAAGTTACCCATGTCAAGAGGTCCTGACAAGCTTGCAGCAGCTCCTCCAGATTGACGAGCTCTTTGAGGGCTTTCACTACGAGTCCTAGGCTCTCGTCCTCGCTTTGGGGTTTTGTCGGGAGTGACGGGTACAAAGGGTGACCTAGCCCTTGGGTTCAAGACCTCAGCTACGGACACGGCTCTTGCCGGTCGTGTTGGGGCCTGTTTCTCAAGCTTCAATCCTTCGGGCGTGACTCGCCAGGCGTACTTTGACCCTTCAACTTCAACCACACCCGCACTCGGAGCCTGGGCCTGGGCCTCAGTTGGTGGTCCCATTTGACCCCCTCTCCCATCCGACCCCGTCCCAGTTTCCCCAAGGTTAGCCGGCTTGCCTGTCACAGCTGGTGTGCCAACGAACTGAGGAGGAAACACAGCCTTCGGACGTGGCTCAGGGACACTAGAGCTTGCACCTGCAGACGATGACGATGCTTTGGAGCTCTCCAGCTTATCCATTCGCTCCACCAAAGACTGTTGGCCTTGCATCAGTACCCGTAGCATTGACGCCAGATCGCCAAAGGGATCTGTAGCCACTGGCTGTACTGGAACCAGTTCGCGATCATCTTCCGCTTTGATAGCTCCACGTTCCATGGCCGAAAACTCGCTGTAACCTGTAACGCTAAAATGTCCAGGCGATGCTTCTCTGGCAACTTGTGCCTCCGGTTCCTGTGGCTGTGTCGCCAGCGCAACAGGGTCAATACGAAGTACTTCTGCATGACACGGAGCTAGTTCATGAGGCACATCATCCCTGGCTGTGCTTGCTGCGGCCTCAGGAGTTTCCTGGGCTTGAGGTCCAAGCTCATATGGCGGTTCACGTTCTGACTCATCGCCTTCCCTTATGGCTGCACCTCCTTCCCCAGGGTCGTCCTGCACGACCTGTTGTGCACGGCGAAATTCCTGCTGTACTGCATCTGACCAGAAAGGGTTCGGGAAGTTTGCCATGGCAAGGTCTACTTTCTACAGGGCCCTTTTACTTAGCGTTGGGCTCATAACCCTCGCGTGGGCAGGAAGCTCCACAGCGGGGTTACGCAGGGCTCTTTTTGTCACCAGGCAGCAACAACACAACAAAAGACCAGAAAAGACATGTTCTGATAGGAGTCTGTGTCCTATAACGTCTGTGCTCATACTGTACACTATACATATGCGATTTCTAAAAAGAGAACTTGCTGGTGGCCTGGGCCCCTGTAGACCTTGGGCCATGTGATAGCAGCATAACTCTGAACATGAACTCTTTGTGCACTCGCGAGGGTTTAGGGTTTAGGGTTTAGGGTTTAGGGTTTAGGGCTTAGGGCTTAGGGCTTAGGGCTTAGGGCTTAGGGTTTAGGGGTTAGTTAGGGTTAGTTAGGGTTTAGGGTTTAATTCGGGTTTAGGGTTCGTTATTGACAGTATATGATTAGAGATTGTGTGGGTGTTCTTGCAGAACTCTTTGATTAGAGCTTGCATTTTTCTCACTGTTGGGGGGTCAGGGTTGTGGGTTGCCCTCTCTCTTGTGCTTCATCGGTTGCTTGCAGTCTTAGGATGGCTTGTAATGTAGTGAATCTAGTGGGTCTCTGGTGGGGGTTTGTGCAAGTGTCGAGGTTTGACAGGTGTGCCCGTTGTGAGAGGGCGGAACAAAAATGCCCCATTGCAATTACCTCATGTGTTTTTTTGGACATCAGCTGATGGAAGTCTAGAAAGCAAGAATCCTGAATCCTAAGCCCGAAACCCGAAACCCTAAACCCTAAACCCTAAACCCTAAACCCTAAAGAGAGAGAGAGAGAGAGAGAGAGAGAGAGAGAGAGAGCGAGCCGACATCGAGCCGAGGCCGGAGCCACGTAGACCGGATTTGAGCTGATGTTGGTTGCCAGCAGCGCATCATCCTGCACCTGGCTTAGGGGTACATAAGGTTTAGGGTTTAGGGTTTGGGGTTTAGGGTTTAGGGTTTGGGGTTTAGGGTGTAGGGCCCCATCCTTCCCATGGTTCAGGGGCTTTGGGGTGGGGGGGGGGGGGGGGTTGGGGTAACATTTTTAATGTCAAGGGTGCGAAGTTGCAACGGAGCAAAGCAGCAGATTTCACTTGGGATTGCTGAGGCTGCTTCCTGAGGGTGCCAGAACGTAGAGGCTCCCTTAAACTTTCTCAGCAAATACCTTCCCCAGTCTAGATCATACCAGGATCCCTCTTACAAGTTACAAAGCACCTTCCTGGATGAAGGGGATTGGAGCCCCTGGTATGCTACAACCCTCAACCCAAACCCTGACTCTAAACCCTAACCCTAAACCCGAAACCCGAAGCCCTAAACTAAACCCTAAGCCCTAAACCCTAAGCCCTAAGCCTGGAGTTCGGACGGCCTCCAACTGCACATGGGCCCGCGAGATGAAGCTCATGCAGGCTGTCGACTGGCAAGAGCAACTGAGGGCTTACAGTGGACGTTTAAGGATTTTTGGGGGTTCGGGGTTTAAGTTGGGATGTTCCCCCCTAAGCTAACAGTCCTTGATGGGACTCTACTAGGGGGTACTATAATCCCTATTGATAAAGGACTGTTGGTATAAGGGAAGATCCCAAGGTTCAAGGGTTAAACTTTTAACGGTTTAAGAGTTTAAGGGTACTCGAAGTCTTTGACGCATGTCCAGGAAAGGCTCGGTTCGCACAACTGGAGGCCACTTCGTGGCAACGCGTGCATTTCTAAATCAACCAGTGCCTGGAGACTTCTGCCGGGCCCTAAATGCATGGCCCTAAGCAAACTGGCAGGTCTTTGCCTTTGCCCAGCGGCGCTCGCTGCGCTTGAAGCCAGGCGTTCGGGTCAAGACCTCCTGAAAGCGATCCTCGTAGGGTTGGTAGGCAGCCATGGCAGCCTCGTCCGAGGAAAGCAGGAAGGGCGACGTGCACCGGGCTGGCATCTGAGTTCCCACACCCCAACGGATGACCGGAAGACGGGAGAGGGCCTTCACCTCCCCAAAATGAACGTTAAGGTTGGTTCCCGTGTAGAAGGGCTTCCCCATTGCAGCATCCCCAAGAAGCAGGAAAGGCACACTGGAGCCCGAAGGGCCAGGTGGCGAGGTGCAGACCACGTGGTCCGAGGACCAGAAGGAGGCATCCACCCAACGCACCGTAGTTTCGGCTGGGCTGAGCAGCTTCTCCTGCAAGGCTCCAGCAGCTGCAAGAATTTGGGGCGCCCAGGATTCCTGAAGGTCAAAGCCCAGTCTGGACAGCTCTGCCTGAAGAGCGGCCACGACGCTCTCGCACGCCTGGGGCTTGCCTCGACCCAGCTTCTCCTTGGCAGCCTTCAGCTCCTCCGGCAATCCCATAAACCAAAGCCAGCAAAGCGGCTGCGCAGGGGTCGTCGCTGCATCCTGCGCGACGCGGAGGACCACTCGGTAGGACAGGCTGCCCGCGGCCTGCTCGCTGCCCGCGCACGCGGCCGCCGCGCTCCGCGCGCAGAAGGTGAGGTCCACCGCGGCCAGCTGCTCCAACTCCTGGATCTTCACTGGACTCCCGCCCTTTCCACGGCTGAAGTGCCGCATCTCAAACACCAGCACCTCTTCACTCTCCCCCAGGCGCATGTCGCAACCCATCTCTGAACGCGTGGAGTCCTCCAGCGATCGCCGGCCGCCAGCCCACAGGATCAAGTCCCATTCTGCTTCTGCGGCGATGTCCTGCGGACTCGTCTTGCTGCCGAACCGAATGCTGTTGGAGCCTCCAAGCCGCCGCCATTGGTCCAGGAGTATCGACTCGATATCTGCCAACGCCATCCCAGACTCAAATCGCTTGGACTTCGTGTGCTTGTTCAGCAGAGCGACCTGGCTTCGAGGGATTTTGGGGATGGTGTGGATGTCTTACAGCAGCTGATTATCGTTGGAGAACTTTTATCCTAATGCACTCCCTGGCAGAACCAACTGAGTGTAAGTGTATGTGCGTGTGCTCGCTTTTCTTGAATGCTGTTCAGCATGTCCTGGGACAGCCCTATAGATAGCCTTTTGCTCCTTCAGCAATGCTGAGAGTGTCTGTGTCTGTGTCCGTGTCCGTGTCTGCGCAGCCGACCCACATCCGACTTCCGGTGCGCGCACGCGCGCGCGCGCGCGCGCGCTCGCTTGTGTGCGATAGGAAAAAATGCAAGCATGCGGCGGCTGGTTTTCAACCTCAGAGGCATGCTGCTTGAGTCGTGCGGCTGTGTGGGCATCGAGAGTGATGCGCACGTTCCGTCGGGAGCAGTGGTCCTCCTCGGCGCGCTGCTCGAAAATCACGATCTCTGGGGCGTCCTTGCTGCGGATGAAGGCGGCTCCCTGCGCGGCCTTGGCCGCTGCGGCTCCGCTGCCCACCGCGACAGAGCCCGAGCGGCGAACACGCCGCGCGTGGCGCAGCATGATCAGGTTTGCTGCCCAGAGCCCCACAGGACCAGCGCCTACGATGGCGATGCGCCGGCGCTGCTTCGGCTGCTTCGCCGGCTTCCCCTTGCTGAAAGCACGCTGGCCCTTCTCCTGCCCATCAAGGACTTCAAAGACACACGAAGACTTGCCAGCCTCTGGCGCAGACGCAGCTTCCTTATCTTTGGCCGCGCGGGCCGCTGTTGCGCGTCTGAAAGCCTCCAGGTTGACTGAGTACCTATACTCCCCGTAGAACCTTCATGAAATTACTATGTTTGATATCCTCTTGCGTTTTATAATAAAAAATTAAAACAATAATTCCCAAGGGGGATATAGGTACTGGCCGAGGGCCTTCTGCCTCCGCTCCTCCTGCCTGGCCCGCCGGCGGGCGGCAAACTGCTCCTGCACCCGGCGCTGCGCCCGGGCCACGGCATCCTCCTGAAGTGGGCCCGGGCTCGTCGCGGCCCTCCGCAGACCGAAAGCACGGCCCTTGCTTCGCTTGAGAAGCTTCTGCGAAGCCGAAGTGACCGAAGTGACAGCATCATGGACGGCATCCCTGGTGGCCGCAGTCTTTGCAGTCGGGTACCCGTCCCCGTTGCTGTCTGAACCGCTCAGCTCCTCGGGCGGTGCGCAGACATCGCTGGCACAGCTGCTCTCGGCGCTGGCGGCCTCGCTGTCCGAGGCAATCTCGGAGTCCACTTCGGCCGGCTGGGCATTCTGGTCCAAAGAGCCTGAAGCGTCTGAAGCAATGCACATCTTTAGCATGATGCGGAAGGATCTGCAGTGGCCATGCTTTGAGCATCCACAGAGAAATCCACCAGCAACTTCGCCGTCGAAGTCGGCAGTGGACAGCTAGTCGAATTCTTAAGCAGAATCGTTGCGGGGCACACACTTCACAACCTGTCCTGCATGCTTGACACCTCTGGATTCCGTCAGTCATGCCGAAACTCTATGGATAGCCCAACTGTGCGCTCAAACGCTAACCAGGTGGATCTGTCTGAAACCGTGCCAGGCCTTGGCAAGCAGTGTTTCCAGCTCCTTTCCTTGGTGCTGCCGACCTGCGTGGGGAGATGATGAAAAGATGATTCTGCTGCTCTGATGCTGATGATGCTTTGCTACTCGTTCTGAGAAACGAATTATTGCAGTAGGGTCTCTAATGACATCTTGAAGGCTAACCCCAATTCCGATGATGATGGTGATGCTCTGATGTCGGGGCCTTATTGGTGGTGCAGACCGGGTTCGAGATTTGGGCGCGGCACGGTGCATTCTAGGACTCATGCTGTTTCAGTTTAGAGAAGTACGTTGTAGCACTTTGCTATTGATGGGTGGTGAGTCGGTAGCTGGTCCGGGAGACGTGGAAAAAGCCAGGCAAGCAGCTGAAAGGGTAGTGCTCGCACAGCAAGAGCATGTCACCAAAATTGCATGACTCTCGTTAGACATCATCAACTCGCCGTACAACAACACTCGCCCAAGCCCCCACAGCTAGAAGCAACTGCCTATGACCAGCGGCTCATCTTCATCCACGATGAACTCCCGGACCTTGCGCTACTTCTGTAGGTACTATGCGTGCTCCACGAACCCGAAGGGCCACTGCTCCCGAAATGCATCCCTGCGTCACTATCCAAGCACTCGCAAACCAAACAGAAAGCCGATGTCTGTGTGATTTGGGTTTTCGGGTTTAGGCTTTAGGCTTTAGGCTTTCGGGATTAGGTTTGCACCCCCAAACATTCAAACGCCAAGGCATCAGTAAAGACAAGCCCATCCAGATACGGTTGAGGGATTACATGCCATACTGCGCAAAAAACCCTATGCAAAATCTACCCTAAACCCTAAACCCTAAACCCTCAACCTTTGGGACCCGATTCCCCTTGGGGCACATCGTAAGCCTTGGAAGCATGCCCAGAAAGGCTCAAAATCAAGAAGCTCAGGTTAGCATCTTTTTGGGGCCCATGAAACTTTCGGAAACGGGTTCTGAAGTATGGGCCAAGAAGGGACCATGCAACCCTCAATTCCAGAGACTACAGCCGAGCTTACGACCCCCGAACCCTAAATCCTGCATGCCCCCATAACCCTAAACCCTCAAGCCCTAACACCGAGAACCTAAGCCCCCTAAACCCGAAAACTATCCCCAAACTCTAAACCCCACTCTAAACCCCTCTCTCCAAACCCAAGCACCATACCCTAAAACACCCTGAGCTCTAAACTCTAAACCCCTAAAGCTCTAAACTGTCAAACCCTCAAACCCTGAACAACCTTAAGCCCTAAAGCACCCTCGGCTCTACAGAACCCCAGGCCCAGCAGCCATACTCCCCTTAGAACCTGAATCAAGGTGGCCTCTTCCATGCTCCCTTGGGTTGTATATAAATATAAAATGAATCCTTAGGGTTTAGGGTTTAGGGTTTCGGGTTTGGGGCTTAGGGCAAAACATGTTTTGCAAAAGATCTGCCAGTGAGATGTTTTGCAAGAAGATACAAGCTTTGTTATTCCTAAGGGGGCTATGCGTCACTGAGGCGGCGGGCGCTGGGAGCGAGGCTTGGGAGCTCGTCACCTTGGCTTCTCAAGACGTAGCGCATGCTTAGTTGGAGGCTCATAGGGTTTAGGGTTTAGGGGTTAGGGTTTTAGGGGTTTGGGGGCTAGGGTTAAGGGATTAGGGGCCAGTCAGGGGTTTAGGGGTTTAGGGGTTTAGGGGTTTAGGGGTTTAGGGGTTTAGGGGTTTAGGGGTTTAGGGGTTTAGGGGTTTAGGGGTTTAGGGGTTTAGGGGTTTAGGGGTTTAGGGGTTTAGGGGTTTAGGGGTTTAGGGGCTTAGGGGCTTAGGGGTTTAGAGGTTTAGGTTTAGGGGCTTAGGGGCTTAAGGCTTTAGGGAGTCATCAGGGGGCTGCATGATGCCAAGATAAGGTGGCAACCACTTACTTACAGCCGAACAGTTCACCGGCTTCCTACCCAGTTGTTGCTAGTGATGGCCTTCATCTTGAAATGATCACGTCGTAGCGAATCGTAGAGCAGTTAAGCTGAGTATCTCCCCAACAACGGCACAGAAGAATGCCAACATCAACTGCAGCAGCAGTATGGCTTTCGGACTGGTCACATCCGAAACCCAAAGCCAGCCATAAGTTTAGGGTTAAAAATTAGGGTTTAGGGTTCAGAGTTTAGGGTTTAGGGTTGCTCCGAAGCTCACAACCACCAGAAGAAACTGGTCAGTTCTCCACATCGCGGATCCTTCTTGGGGTCGGATCCTTCCCTGAGGCGTATTGTGTTTAGTGTATTGGGTTCCTCCTGCAAGACAGCCAAAAAGGACCATGGCTTGCTCTTACTCCAATAACCAAGGGGAAAAAAGGTTAAACTCAATTATTCCTACTAATTACATAAGGAAGCCCAAAAGGTTTAAAGTTCAACTCTTGGCTAAGTAAGTGCTAGTAGAGAACAGGGCACCCGCTAGGTTGAAGTGCTGCCTCGCCACCGAGCCCCTCCACGAAGGAGCAGCGCAAGACCCAGGGGCAGCTGCCCAAACGCTCCTGCAGGGTTGAGGGGTTTAGGGTTTAGGGTTTAGGGTTTAGGAGCTCTGGTCAGACCAGCTTGACTGTGTCGACCAGCAACCCTAAACCTTGATGGGGTTTAGGGCTGAGACCCTGAAGCCCTGAACCCTAAACCCTGATGGCCCTGCTGGGTTTATCTTGCGTACCTGATAGACTTCATTTAAACCCCAAAGCCATAAGCTCCCTTTAAACGTCTACAGCCCGAAATACAACCCTGAACCCCGGTAAGCACCCTGGAAACCCAGTGAGGTCCTCCCCAAAGTCCAGCACTGCTGTGGGCGCCACTGCAGCGTTGAGGTACTCCACAGCTGCCGCCCGGCGGAAGCGCAGCCGGAGAAACAGGGCCAGCCTCCAAGAAATTCTATAGGAACTAGGAGGTTTGAGGGGTTTAGGGTTTTCGGATAAACCCTAAACCCTAACCCCGAAACCCTACACCCTAGTTCAGGAGCTCAGGGAGTTTAAGGGTTCGTTGTCAGGGATTTTGGGCTTTTGGGTCTTTGGGAGCTGGTGTGGAGGGCTTCAGCACAGGGCTTTGTAGGGCCCAAGGGTTCTTGTAGGGCTTAGTGGGCTTCTCGGCTTGCTGGGTTTTGGCTAAGAATTACCCGAAAACCTATACCTTAAGTGTGGGTTGTTGTGGGGCATATAGGGCTCTTGCGTACTTGTCGGGGTTGTTGGGTTTCACTGGTTTTCCGGCTTGCAAGGCTTCTACAGTCGGGCTTGTAGGGTTCCGGGTTTAGGGTTTAGCAGGGCTCGTCGGCTGCATAGGCTTCATGTGCTCTAGGGTCTAGGGAGTAGCTGCAAACTGCGGAAAGAGGGCCGCATCATCACAAGGGGCCTAACTAACCAAAAGACCTACCCAAACTCTAAACCACTCAAGCCCGAAACCCTCAGTCCCTCAGGCCAAAAACCCAGAACCCTGAAAAACCCTAACCCTAAACCCTAAACCCTAAACCCTAAGCCCTAGACCCTAGACCCTAGACCCTAGACCCTAGACCCTAGACCCTAAACCCTAAACCCTAAACCCTAAACCCTAAACCCTAAACCCTAAACCCTAAACCCTAAACCCTAAACCCTAAACCCTAAACCCTAAACCCTAAACCCTAAACCCCACTCCAAGTGCCGGGCTCGCCAGTTTGCGAGTACGGAAAGCCGACCTGTGCAATGGCTGCAGATTATAGGGTGCAGGGTTAGGGTTTAGCGCCCCCACATATACACAGCCCTACAAATCTTCTCACCAAAACCTTAATCTGAACCCTGCTTCATGTGGTGTAGGGCTTAAGATACCAGTAGCACGCGCCCTCTAGCACCGCAATCACAACCCCTAAGCCATACGGAAGCAGCTCTTAACCTCAACCACCACCTGTAGACCTTACCCCTAGTTCTGAAAAACATTCTGAAAGCGACAACCACGGGCACTCAACCCTGTAACCCTGTAAACCCCTCCAACGATTCGATCAAACCCTGCCTTCAGAACCCTAGAAAAACCCAGTAGATACCCAATAAGGGACCATCAGCAACGACATGCAAACTGCAAAGGCAATGCACAGATTTGCATGGATGACGAAGAAACCAACACGCAATCAAGAATGAGAGAAGAAGAGCAAGAGAAAAAGAACAAGACAATGACAACAAGAGAACTTTAATAAGAGACGAAGAATAACAGAGTACCAAAAATGAACTACAAAAAACTAACACAAAAACACGAAAAAAAGAGACAGACATATCTTCATCACGACAAGAAGAGCCCCCCCCCCCCCCACCCCTCCGCCTCGGATCCCAGGTCCAAGGCCATGGAGTCGCCACGCGCCAGGATGTGGCCGTTCAGGGTGATGGGGTTGTTGCCTCCGAGTGTTTAGGGATTGAGGGTTTCGGGTTTAGGGTTTAGGGATTGAGGGTTGAGGGTTGAGGGTTCGGGGTTTCCAGAGGGTTTGAGGCTTTGTTTGCAGGGTGATGGATTTTTTCCTCTCCAAGGAGAGGGGTGTGGCTTGTTACACCCTAAACCCTAAACCGTAAAAGCTAAATCCTAGACCCTAAACCCGTGGGTTGGGGCTGTATAGGGCATGTAGGCAAACGAGGGTTTAGGGCTTATGGGGGGTTAACAGGGTGGCTACACCAAAGTGGTGTCCCATGCAAGCCCCGAAGTGGAACCTGTAAGGCTTGATATCGCAAGCACAAGGGCTTAGGGTTTAGGGTTTCGGGTTTCCGGTTTCGGGTTTAGGGGTCAGGGTTTAACAAAGTCCATGCGGCCTCGTCCGCTAAACGCCTTAAGCCCTGAACCCGAAACCCATGGCAAGCCCCGAAGCCATAGATCCTAAACCCGGACATCGACCCGGACATCCCTAAACCCTAAACCCGAAAGCCGAAAGCCGAAACCCAAACCCTAAACTCTAAACCCTAAACCCTAAAACCTAAACCCCAAACCCCAAACCCTAAACTCTAAACCCTAAACCCGAACCCTAAACCCTAAACCCCTAAAAGCTTCGCCCCGGTCAACACCAATCCCGAAGGGTGAGACTCCGCCTTTCGCCGTGATTTGCATATCCGAAGGGCCAGGCGCCCATGACACCTCCGAGGAGGGGAGTTTGGGGTTAGGGCTTAGGGCTTTAGGGCTTAGGGTTGAGGGTTTAGGGTTTAGGGCTTGTTGGGTCAAAACCTCAGGCTCCAACCGAAACTGTAGAACCCTAAACCCAGCTTCTCTCTGTCTCTCTCCGTCTCTCTCACTCTCTCTCTCTCTCTCTTTCTCTCTCTCTCTCTCTCTCTCTCTCTCTCTCTCAGATTCGTGCTAGTCAGACATTTCCGTGAATCTGCGCCCCAAACCCCAAACCTCAAACCCCAAACCCTCAACCTCCAACCCCAAACCCCAAACTCTAAACCCCATACCCTCAACCTTAAAGCCTAAACCCTAAAGCCCAAACCCGAAACCCTAAACCCTAAACCCCAAAACCCCCTCTAAGTCCCCAAAAAAGGCGCACCTCGAAGGAGAGCCTTGAGATGCAGCTGCACAGCTCCGGGTTCTGCCTCATTGGGACTTTGAAGGCGAGTTATACACTTGGTTTAGGGTTTAGGGGTTTAGGGTTTGGGGTTTAGGGTTTGGGGTTTAGGGTTTGGGGTCTGGGGCGTTTAGGGTTTAGGGCTTTCAGGGTTAGGGCGTTTTCAGGGTTAGAAGCCTCTGAGATGAACTCCTGGACAGAACGCTCCTAAACCCAAGAAAGGACATGCTTTAAGAATGTGCCTGATTGGTAGAGTTTCGGGGTGGTGGGTGTTCGGTTTAGGCTGGTCTGGGCATTCGCAGGCTGAAGCAGGGGTTTGGGGAAAGCCCAAACCAAGCAGGCGGTTTGGGGTTTACGTAGCGTCCAGAGGTTTAAGGTTGAGATGTTCCCCCCTTCTACTAACAGTCCCTAAGGTATCCCCCTAAACCCTAAACCCTAAACCCTAAACCCTAAACCCTAAACCCTAAACCCTAAACCCTAAACCCTAAACCCTAAACCCTAAACCCTCAACGGGATTATAATAAGGATACGATAATTCCTATTAATTAAGAGGGCCCCCGACCCCACGGAGGAATCACACTGAGCAGGAGGCAGCCAGGACTCAAACAAGTCTTGCTGATATTGGCGTCCCACTGGCCTGGGTTCAGGGTTCAGGGTTCAGGGTTCAGGGTTCAGGGTTCAGGGTTCAGGGTTCAGGGTTCAGGGTTTAGGGTTTAGGGTTTAGGGCTGTGTGCAGAAAGCCCTACTCAGCGCATAAGAGGTAGTTAAAGTATTTCTCGCAATCCTCGTATTGGAATAGTCAGTGATGAGAAGATGGCAACAAGAATGATGCTGCTAGCGTGATTACAAACTCATCCGCTCAGCCCGAAACCCAACAGCATACCTTTGAAGCCGGTCCTTTCCGGACTTCCGGCCTTCGCCAGCTTTTCCCGCCCATTGCATTGTTGTTCGGGGCCCCCCGCTCTTGCTGTTTGGATGTGGGTCAGAGTGAGTGTGTGAGGGAGGGAGAGGAGCGAAACAGAGAAAGAGAAAGAGAAAGAGAAAGAGAAAGAGAAAGAGAAAGAGAAAGAGAAAGAGAGAGGCAGAGACCGAGACAGAGACGGAGAGAGAGAGAGAGAGTGCAAGAGCAAGAATGAACAAACATTTACGACAATAACGACAAGAACAAAACTAGTGAAGCAGCAGCTCCGGGCACCAACCGCCGAGCTCCCGGCGCAGTTAGACGCCCACCAGCCTCCCAAGACAGGCCCCACATCTTCAGAAAGTTGGGGCTTAGGGTTTAGGGGCTTAGGGTTTAGGGTACCAATGGTCAAAGTCCCGAGTCCCAAAAAAACCTAAATCCACTAAACCCTAAACCCCAAACCCCAAACCCTAAACCCTAAACCCTAAACCTAAGATCCTAAACCCCGAATCGCCTGAACCCCTAAACCCTAAACCCCAAACCCTAAACCCTAAACATAAGATCCGGGCCTCGCCCGAAGCCATCAGGTGCAGATGCCTCCGCTGCTGCGGCAGCGACTCGACCTGCGAGTCGCACGGAGGCATCCGAAGGGTTTAGGGCTTGGGGGTTTAGGGTTTAGGGGTTTAGGGGTTTAGGGTTTAGGGGTTTAGGGTTTAGGGTTTAGGGTTTGGGGTTTAGGGTTTGGGGTTGAATTAGGGTTTTAGGGGTTTAGGGTTTAGGGTTTAGGGCGCAGGGTCAGACAAATAAAACTTAGCATGGCTCACAGATTCAGGGAGTTGGGGTTCGATGCCCCCCCCCCCCCCCCGCCCCCCTGCGAGCAGAACTAAACCACAATACATACCAAAAGCGATGCAGCCCTAAGTTTCAGAATTCCGAATCTCCTGTAAATTTCTAATACCGCAAAGTCGCCTAAACTCAAAAAGCCACTAGAAACACGCGAGCGCCAAACTCACAACCCCCCAAAACACATAATTCTCTACATCTGCTGTGGCCGAAGACCCTCGATGAAGCACGCGAAGGAAGGAACAAACGAACGAACATGCTCAACCCCAAGCCCTCAACCTCAAGCCTTAACCCTGCAACCTGATAACCCTAAACCTTAGTAACCCTAAATAAACCGCCCTAACCCTAAACCCTAAACCCTAAACCCTAAACCCTAAACCCTAAACCCTAAACCCTAAACCCTAAACCCTGAACCCTGAACCCTGAACCCTAAACCCTAAACCCTAAACCCTAAACCCTAAACCCTAAACCCTAACCCTAAACCCTAAACCCTTAACCCTGCTCCCCTAAGCTTCCAGATCCGCGTGCACCCCGGCCTGCAGGCCATCGGCCGCCACGAGCTCCAGGGAGAAGGGCGCCGGGCGGCTCGGGGAGGGCCCCGAGCCCTGGCTTGAGGGTTAAGGTTTGGGGCTTAGGGTTTAGGGGTTTAGGGTTGAGGGTTTAGGGCTAGGGGGTTTAAGGTTTAGGGTTTACGACTGAAGGTTCGGGGTTTAGGGTTTAGGGCTAGGAGTTTGGGGTTTCGGGTTTAAGGTCTAGGGCTGAAGGTTTGGGGTCTAGGGTTTAGGGCTTAAGGTTTGGGGTTCGGGGATTCAGGCGAATGGGGGGGGGGGGGGAATTCATGGGATGTAGGGCGTATACGATTTAGAGTTTCTTCTGTGGAGGGTTTTGGATTATAGGATTTAGACACTGATGTCGGGTTGACAGGGTTTGGGGATGTTCGGGCTTGGGGGCTTTGGGGTGGCGCCTGGGACATCTCCTGCGAAGACACATTCTCCAAATATCCGCTGCCGTGACCTGGGCGACTCGGACGCTGCCGACGTGCTGGCACTTTTTGAGAACCCAGAGTTTTAGGGTTTAGGGTTTAGGGTTCAGTAAAACCCAAAGTGAGCCTTCAACCCTAACTCAAAAATCTGACAACCCAAGAAACTCTTGACCCAAGCCCTTAAGCCTTCAATCGGCTAAACTCTTGCTGCCCTAAAGATCCCACTCCCCCTAAGCCCCCCCCCCCCCAACGTACATCCAAACACACCCGGGGCCTCCACAAGGACTCGTGCCTGCCTGGGGCCGCGGATACTTCTCCAGCAGCAGCCGAAGAGACCGAACCACCTGCCAGACTATAAGGATCGTTACATGGTCCCTTTTGGGATGTTCACCCTTTCACCTTAGTAGGGATTATGATTAATATAGGGGGGGTACTTTAATCCCTACTCAGGACTGTTTGTACAAGGGGGAATATCCCAAGGTCGCTTAGTGCGGGCCCAACAGCCCTTTAGAGGGATTTTAGAACTCCCCCATTCTAATGTCTGGTAAGGACTGTCCAACGTGTTTTGGGGCTTTTCTCGCAACACCTCCTCGAAATCTTCCAGCTAGAGCCTTGAAGCCGTCTCCCCCCCCCCCCCCTCCCCCCCCCCCTCCCCCCCCCCTCCCCCCCCCCCCCCCCCCTCTCCCCCCCCCCCCTCATCACCGCCCCCGATCGCGAAACGGCTCCTGCCTCAACAAACCTGGGGCGTGATTCCTCGTCGCTGGCGTTCACGCAGCGGATGCCCAGGCTTGCCAGGTCCTTTCAGGATGTTCAGCCTCTTTGTAGGGTGTTGATGGGGTTTATACAGGGGTTCTATAAGGTCTTTCTAGGTTCACTTAGGTCTTAAATAGTTAGAGTTTATGGGGTTTTAGGTAAGGTTGATATTATGTTCATATAGGGTTCTAAGTAGGTTTACATAGGGTTTATGGGGGTTTGTACGTAGGGTGGGAGCTGGACATGGATCCATGGTGGCAGTAGGCTGGTAGTGGCAGGGTGGGCCCTTTAAAGCGAGGCGCGAGTCATGTGCACTTCTCTCCAAATACATACGTAACCCCAAACCCTTTGAGCCCCTAAACTCCAAACCCCAAACCCTAAACCCTAAACCCCAAATCCCAAACCCTAAACCCTAAACCCCTATTCTGGATGTCTGCCTTGGACTCCAGAGCCCCCCCCTTGCACAAGTGAAAGGCCGTCCTCGGGAAGGCCTTTTGGCCACGCCGCCGTTCGGTCTGCCGCTTGCACCTGGGGTTCAGGGGGTTTGGGGGAGTTCAGGGGGTTAGGGTTTAGGGATTAGGGGTTCAGGGTCTTGAGGGGGTTTGGAGCCTCCAGAAGATGAGGATAAGCACTGTGGAGCTTTTGAGGGCAACCACAATGATTTTCATGATACTGACGATGGTGACGAAGGTGATGATGGTGAAGATGATGAAGATGATGGTGATGATCGCGATAATGGTGGTGACCAATGAGAATAGTGACGGCAGCAATGAGGAAACTGGTCTGATGAATCTACTATCGGAATGGTATTCTTCGTTGTGTAGACATTTGGCGATTGCGGAATACCTAAAATGGATGGTCTCTTGGACCCTCAACGCCCTAAACAAAAGGACCCGTAGACCTTGAACACCCCGATCCCTCTCCACACCAAAGAAAGGATCTCCAGTAGCCCATGAACCCGAAACTGCACATCCTAAACCATGAAATCCCCTTGTGATGTTCCCCCTTATACTAACAGTCCTTTGATAGGGATTATGATGGGGGGTACTATAATCCCTATTAAGGACTGTTAGTATAGAAGGGGCAACATCCCAACAAACCCCTGTAAAGCCCCTTAAGGAACCCCCAAAAAAAGAGAGACGAAGAGAGGCTCCTTAGCGGAGTTCCTGGGGTGCCGGGCACAGCGCTCCACCGCCCCTGCGGACCCCGGGAGCAGCTGGGCCTCGATGGGATAGGCGATGCCTGGGCGTGGCACGGCCGCAGCTTGGCATTTGCAAGCTCAGGGCTTTTTTGCTTTGAGAGCACTTGGCTTTGCTTGACTTTTGATGTTTTTTGGGCAGGTGAGGAGTGGGGGGGGGGGGGGCAGGGAGACTCTTGAGGGTTCATGTCTTGGGTGCTGGATGCCGGGCTTAGGTTGACGGCCCTGCTTTTGGCACAGAGAATGCGGCTGCGCGGGTCGCAGTTGGGAGCTGCTCTTAACATTCGGGTTGCTTACTCTTCTGGGCTTTCGGGGCCCTTTGGGGGTGTTAGTGATTTAGAGACTTCAGAGAGGTTTAGAGTCTTAAAGGTCTTCAGGGCTTGGGGCCCGCATGTTGAGCAACTCCCATGTCTTGCTCACACGAACCCAGTGGAGCTGGCAAGGGGCCGAGCTGTAAAGGCCCTTAGAGAAGCCCTCTGAACAACTTCTCCACCTGTACATTTCAAAAGTAAGTTCGCCCGGCCCTTACAAGCCCTCTGAACATTGAGCAATGTTCCTAAATAAGAAGGGCCTTCCTGGTAAGCCTTCTTTTTAAGGAGCCTTCCATGCATACGCAGGTGGCACGCAGATATGTGCTGTATCGCCGTGTCAGTCGAACGCCTCGGCCGACCGCGAGTTCTTCATCCGTGCCTGCAGTATCTTCTCCATGGGCGCAAACTCCTCAGAGCTTTCCTGGAACACTTCCTGGGCTCTCTTCTCAAGCCAGGTGACCAGAGTACCTGACCCACGACCATAGCCAAAAGGCAAGGCTCTCAGATCCTTTGTCTGTGCCTTGGGAGGCGGACCAAACGCAGGTGGAAACTGCGGGGGCCCCTGGGCGAGATCCTCCTGAATCTTTCCGTAGATCCACAGGGACAGCGAGCTTCCACCGTGCCCGTAGCCCCCAGCCAGGGGCACGTAGTCCATGGTCATGGCCCGTGGGGGTGGGCCCCAAGACTTGGGAAACTCGGGCAGAGCCCCCGCTGTGAAAGCCAGGGAGAGCGCCAGCAGGAGGGCTTGCATGGCCAAACGATCGCAAGGAGATCGCAGGATCAGCGCCCGGGAGGCTGATCTCTTGGGCTAGAGGCGGCTTTTCTGCAAGATGGAGCACCTACCTGAACCAAAAAGCATTCACCCAATCCAACACCTCATTTTCGCCCTAAGATTCTTAAACCCCAAGCCAACCCTTAAACCCTGTTTGCCCTAAAGCCCCCCCCCACTTCTGACGGAGGCTGAACCACGCGCCCCCCTGAGCACTGCACCGCCGGGCTTGGAGGGGTCGGCCGTGGCCGGTGGGATGGACGTCAGCACCTCCAAGATCACCATGCCGAAGCTGTAGACCTGAGCCAGTTTAAGGGGTATTAGTAAATTAGGAGGGCCCCCTACAAGGGACCCTTATTCTTCTTCCCTTATCTAACCCCTTGTATATACCTTATAGAGTCCCTATATACCTAAGTAAGTAGACCTGATAAGGGGCTTGTAGGGTTTATAGGCGGCTGATAAATTGCTTAGGAAGCTGAAAGAGCTTAGAGTCTAGGGTGTAGGGTTTTGGCATTCTGGGATGTATAAGGTTTGGAGATTGGGCATTGGTAAGATTAAACAGTTTAGGGGATTCTGTTCAGTAGTGGCATTCGAAAGTGTGCATGCGCTCTTCGAAACCGGTAGACCACTGGAGCCGGTGGCAGGCAAAACGCCCTCAAAAGTGTGACCAGTTGCCATGCCTCGCTAGTGCCTCTCGCCCCCGAACACCATGATGCCTACACCGACACCCTGAACCCTAAAGCAGAATTCACCAAGCCCTAAACCCTAAAGTCTAAACCCGGCAAACCCTGCCCTGCCTCGCTAAACTCGGTGACTGTGCCCGTGCGGGCATAGATCGGGCACGCGTACCCGGGAGTGCCGCTGATTGTCTTGACCTGTCGGGATAAGGGCATTCAATATTTACAAGGATAGAGTTTAGGATTCTGGGATCAAGGCTTAGGGATTACAGGGCAGACAGTCTAGAATTACATAATGCTTCCGGGTTTTGGAATCATACAGGGTTTAGTGCTCAAAATTTACGGATGCTCTTGCCAGGCACCTCTCGTCCTTCAACGAAGTATGAGACCCTGGGTTTTGTAGTGCGCAAGGCCGCAGCATGAGAGCGCACCAATCCTAGTCCTAGTGCTCTTCAGACCTCCCGCCTCTTAGTGGGAAATCGGGATGTGGGTACCTTGCCCCTTAAGCGATTACATAGGAACCCTAATTCCCTGATTCCCTACTACGAGCCAGGAAGTATAGTACAGATTAGCCGTCAGCCCCGAATCCCCAAACGGAGGGGGGGGGGCCTTGACTTGATGGCCCCGCTGGCCCTTCCCAGAGGAGGTGCAGCTCAGGCCGAAATCAGCCATCTTCGCTGTGCCATGCCTCGCCATCGCGGGTCCGCGGGAATTCTTTTGGGGGGATGGGGAACTTGGGAGGATTATGGTTCAAGTGGGATGGTTGCGAAGGGATCTGGATTCCTTTTCAAGACCAATGGTGTGCTTTGCGCAGGCAAACACATTGCTGTCAGCGCCCACTCGGCTGCCGGCCGATCCAACAGAATGTTGGCCGCTTTGATATCCTGCAAGCATGGAGTGGGGGAGTCGGGGGGGGGGCGTCTTCGGCCTTCGGGATTGTGGGTTTACTGAAAGGGTTTAGGGTTTAATTAGGGTGGATTAGGGATTAGGGTGAACATCATGAACCCTGAACTTCTTTAAGCCCTAAATTTTAGGGTTTACTGACCCTGGGAATATTGACAGCACAAGCAGCTGTTAAACCTCAAGCTTCCTTGTGCTGCATGCTCTAGTAACGCCGCCACGGATACAGAGCCAGGGGCCCAGCAGCAGCGTTCAAAGGGTGGGATGGAATGCCAAGCTGGCGGAACGAAGCTTTAGGATCTAAGCAGATGAGGCCTCAACAAGCCTTTCTTGAGTTTGTTGGAGGGGGAACCCGAATCCCAGGCTGAGCTGGCGGCGCGATGAAAGGCTTTGGGCTTGGAGTTGTGCATGTGGGAGAGACCGGAGGCGGCGTCCAGGAGCGCGCTGACCCGATCACACCTCAAAAGCAGCTGCAATGGAGGGAGGGGGTGGGGGACGCCAAGCCCGAAGTCTGTAAACCCTGAATAAAATGACAGACTCAGACCTCTACTGCTCTGGAACTCTTTAAGCCCAAAACTGATCCTCATCCCTTGTGAGCCCTAAACCCTCCAACCCCTGAAGCCCCCGAAGCCCGCATCGGGTCCCCCGGCCACAGGAAGGGAACAGGGTGGTCGCGCTTGCGGCTCTTCAGGAGCCGGTCATAGACGTCGCCCCCAGTCATGAGCTCGTAGACCAAGTAGCGAAACCTCACTTGTTCAAGGTCCTAATTATCGGGTTTTTTCAAGATCTATGTAGGAGTCCATAAGGTTGTAGGATGTTTAGGGTAAATTCATAAAAATGTCTGCAGGGATTGGGGTTCTATCTGATGGTCGAAACAAGATCTGCATGTTGGACCGGGCCTTGGTCTACCCCTTCATGCGTTTTCATGTAGTGGACTTGGGTGAATCCACGGGTTTAGGGTTTAGGGTTTAAGGGTTTCGGGTGTAGGGGTATCCGAAGGTTGTGCCTCTTCCATCTTCTGCTGCGCGCGACTTCGGAAGGGGCTTAGAGGGACTAGAGTTAGAGGTGCAGCACTGCGTTGATGAAGCATTTATCCCACCTGGTTACCGGCAATCCTGATCATCTTGATTCCCAAACCCCATACTTAGTAGCCCAGCAACCATATCACAATAAGGGTACCCTTGTTTTGGTTGGTGACTTCATAAGGGAACCAAAGGGTACCACCGGGCTACCAAGTATAAACGCTAACCCAGACCCCTGGGAGCATCCAAAAAGTAGAACCCCCCCTGCAATGCCTATATTACCAGTGGGGGTCATTCTTAGGAACCCTTGAGGGGAGCTAATTTGTTGGATCCTCCCACGGGTTTGGGAAGCCTACAGCCCAGATCTCCGACGAAGCTGGGCCCCCCCGGCTGCTCGTGCTTCCCCCAGCCGATAAGCGTCACCAGGTTCGGGTGGCGGAACCTCATCTGCCAAGAGTTTTTTTTGAAGGGGGGAGGCTGCAGGAACCTCGTAGAATCCGCAGGGTCTAGGGTTTAGGGTTGTAGGGTTTAGGGTTTAGGGGCTGTAGGGCCCTCTCATAACCTCAGGGCAGGGCTTGCTCAAATTCTTCACCTCCTCTTCGAACCCAGCCATATCCTCCGTCCTCGGGCGTGAGGGCGGCTTGGGAAATGACCCAGGACGACACGTCGCACAAGGAATACCCAAACTCGAGAAGCCCCTAAACGCTGAACTCTAGACCCTAAGCCTTGACTGGCGGGGTCCATGGCATGCCACACTAAGGAGGGGTCTGCCCGGCAGCGCCCAGGGCACCAAGGTCTATCATCTTTATGGCGACTTCGGTTCCGTCCTCGACAGAGGAGAGGTGGGGCGAGGGGAGGTATCTGCTAGGTTCTGTGAGATTCTGTTAGACTCTGTTGTTAGCTTCTGTTAAATTCTATTGTACCAGAAGTTGAAATAACCTGGTCTGTAAACATGTTGAGAAGCCACAATTCACACGGTCAGAGCATACAGCTTTGAACACCCGGGCCTCCATCTCGCCCTTGAAAACTGCGCCGTACGAGCCGCTACCCAGCTGACGGCTCTTGCTCCAGTCCCGGGTGGCTACTTTTAGCTCCTGCAGGGGGCGCGCAGCCTTCGCCCTCTTCTTTGGTAGTCTATACGACGCTAAGATGCTACAGTCTCTATCTCTCTCTCTCTATATATATATATATAATTATATAATTATATAATTATATAATTATATATATATATAGAGAGAGAGAATGTGCGAGATACTACTGTAACATTTCTTTTTACTAATAATATAACACATAACTTTCCACTTTGTACTTCAGGGCGGGTAAGGGTTGTTTCTTGTCGAGGCCGGGTGCTATCCTCGTAGTCGTAGCGGAGGGAGATCCCACTGAGCATGTCGCTCACGCGGATGGTGGGCCGGTGGGACTCTGGGACCATCACCATCCTCAGAACTCCAGAATTCTCAGCTTTAGTCACTCGAGTCTGGGTTTAGGGTTTAGGGTTTTAGGGTTTAGGGTTTTAGGGTTTAGTGTTTAGGGTTTTAGGATGTAGGGTTTAGTCTGGATCTGTGTCCTTCCTGCACCTTTTGGACACATGAAATGCGGGTTCAGGAAACTCCCGTGAAAGAATCAGGCCCTCAAACAGCGTCAGCTGGAAGAGGCACATAGACTCCATGTCGTCAACTCAAATCCGCAAACATGGAGCAGGAGGGGGGTGTGGGGCTTGGGCCTAAAACCAAACCCCCACCACTGCAAACGAGAAACTTCATCACTGCAAGCATTGCTACGAATCCGAAAATCAAGCATCATCATACTCGTCACTATTAGAAGTCTGAATCGGTCATAATCATGGCTATGATCAGTCCGATCGGAGCCTCCCTCCTCTTCCCTCCTCTCTCCTCCTGCTACCCATATACACCCCAAAAAAACGAGAAAAAAAACCTAAACAGCCCTATATAAAGCCTAAACCCCTGAAATATGTCTCAGCCCAGCTGCCCGACCCTGGGCGCCAGGATTGGAGCGCCGGGGGCCATGGCTTGCCGGGGCGCCTTGAGCGCCATCGCAGCAAGAACCCAAGGAACCACCCGGAGCCTCGAACTGGAGAGGGGCCTCTTTTTCGATTTTTGAACAGGATGTGGGTGGTAGGGTAAGTGGAGTGCTATGCGATGTTGACAGGGAGCTATTCTTTGGGCTCCTCTACTACACGTCGACCCCTTCAGTGGTCTTTTCAGCTGATTGCTGTGGTTTCAGCGTCGGGGTCTGGGGTGGTTGAGACAACCCAGTGGAGCAAGGCTCTTGAAGTTACGGACTCATGTAGCAAGCAACTCTGTGTGAAGGATCTCTTCGCCCTGACATACAGTTCCGGCTTTGTGCAGCTAACTTTCACACTCAAACCTAAACTGTCATCGCTCGCTTGAGCCATGAATGCATGAATCAAGCTGCTGCCTCGTCTCCCCGTGCGCACGTGTTAGTTCCCCAGGGTGTAGGGCCAGGGTGTAGGGCTTAGGTTTGAGAGGGTTTCAAGTTTAGACTTAAGTTAGGGTGGAGGCCATGAACAGACGAAGAAGAACAATTTCAGCAGCATCCCAGAGGAGGGTCAGTTGCTGCTTCGAACCTTTGGACAAACGAATTGGTTGCAGGCCGTGCAGCGCATGCCCAGGTCTCCTCAAACGCTGAAGTCTCAGAAAAAAGATCAGAGTTGACCTGGCGAATTAATCCCCTCCCCTAATAAAGCATTGCACAGCATCCTACATTCAGGGGGGGTGCAGGTTTAGGTTAGGGGTTTAGGGTGTTGGCCTTTTGGAGTCCATAGTGAGAAGTTCATAGCGCATTGGGAAATTTTGAGTTGAGACGTATTAGGGGAAGGGATTATACATGCTCCGCTTGAATTAGCCTCTCCCTGGAATCTGCTTGCGCGCTCAGCAAGTACGAAGTGCGACCACCACGTGGAGCATCTTCGCTCCGCGCTGCACGATCAACAGCTATCTTAGATGTACAGGGCAAAAATAAGCACCTCCACGACCCTAAACCCTAAACCCCAAACCCTAAACCCCAAACCCTAAACTCTACTAAACCCTAAACCCCAAACCCTAAACCCCTAACTTCATCTTAGCCCCCTGAGCTTCACAGCGCCAGGAACAGCAGGCGACAGCAAGCGTTTGCCCTTTACTGGCTGGACCGCAAGCCGAAGGCTGTGGCCCCTGAGCTCGAGATCTCCTGGGGACGGTTGTTTAGGGTTTAGGGTTTAGGGTTTAGGGTTTAGGGTTAGGGTTTAGGGTTTAGGGTTTAGGGTTTAGGGTGTAGGGTGTAGGGTGTAGGGTGTAGGGTGTAGGGTGTAGGGCTTAGGGCTTAGGGCTTATAATTAGGGCTTAGGGCTGTGGCTTGCGGCTCGGTTCTTGCCCCCTGCCCTGGAGCTCAGGGAATGGATTTAGAGTAGATATAGCTGTTAGAACAGGCAGGTATAGTTTTACTTCAACTCTTTTGGGAAAACTTATTCTTACAAAACATGGTGCAATGAAAAATCATTCTCTATAGATTCAATCTTGAACCCAGAAGAACTGACAAGGCTGCTTGTGAACAACGCCTGCAGCCAAGCTGGCATCTATGCTTTTCGCCAACAGCTGGCTTAACCCCAAACCCTAAACCCCTAATAAACCCCTAAACCCCTAAACCCCTAAACCCCTACACCCCTACACCCCTAAACCCTAAACCCTAAACCCGAAACCCTAAACCCTAGCAACATTTGCATATTTAAACATGCTCCCACTCCCAAGCTACAATCAGCTTGACAGAGCCTCTTGGCCCCGGGTTTAGAGCCTTGAGGTGTCGGGTTTAGGGTCTCCGGCTTAATGTCTCGGGCTTAGGGGACTTAAGGTGTCGGGCTTAGGGTTTGGGGAGCCACATTGTGACGTGTGCCTGTTGCTACTCTCCGGAATGAAGGTTCGCTCAACTGAGACCGGGGAGTTAAACCCTGCGGCTGATTCCTAAGGAGCTCCTATACTACCCCAAACCTCAAACCCTCCAACCCTTATAAGCCGTCGTGCCCTTGAACCCTTGAACTCGTCAAACCCTTAAGCCCCCAACCCCTCAAACCCTTTAAACCCACAACCCTCTAAACCTTTCAAACCCTTTAAACCCCTTTAAAACCCCTTGTTAAACCCTTTAAACCCTCTAGCCCCCCTGCTAAACCCTTCACTCCTCAAGCCTTCTAAACCCCTCAACCTCCCCCCGAAAAGCGGGTCCTTGCTGGGAGAGGGTGGCAGGCCCAGGCTCGAGAGGAAGGATGAAGCGCCGCGGAGGTGAGGCGAAGACCTTCCCCGAGGGTCGAACCGAGAAGGGTGGGGGTGTTTGTTTTTTGTGTTTTTTTGTGGGGGGGGGGGGGGTTTGGGTGCAGGGTTTGGGGTTTAGGTTTGGGGTTTCGGGTTTAGGGTCTAGGGTTGAGGGTTTGGGGGTTCGGGTTTGGGTCGACCACCCGATGCGAAATGTCAGGGCAAGATGAAGGACTAGTTCGCTAGGACAAGCTTACTGTTGTGCCAGTCAAGTGGTGCTTCGGCCGCAAATAAGAGCATCTTCTTGACGAGCACACTGAGCGTCAAGCTACCTCCCTGTCAGACCACCGGTTAGCTGTAGCGTGCGACTGCTGTGCAATGCCCCACTCCCGAAACCTTATCTCCACACTGGTGTTAAGCAAGCCTTCTTGGGAAGAGGACGCAATGAAGCGAAAACCCGAAATGCCCTATAAACCCCAAACCCTAAACCCTAAGCCCCAAGCCCTAAGCCCGAAGCCCTAGCCCCTAAGCCCTAAGCCCTAATTAAGCCCTAAGTCCTTTCACCCTAAACCCCATGGTCGCCTTGGCAACTCCAGTCTCTCAAGGCCAATGCCAGCGAACACGCAGATCCCCCAAAAGCTCAATAACCCGAAACGCAAGAACGCCCCGAAAGCCTGGAATCCTCAACCTCATGCCTAGAACCCTCTAACCCCTAATCTCCTAACCCCCGAACCACTACATAAACCCTTAACCCCTAAACCCTAAACCCTAAACCCTGGACCAAAACTTGAAGGCTTTCATGCGCCACCTCAGGGGTGAGCTACCCAGCGATCCGGTCTTCGGCCTAGGCCAGAGTTCGAGATGGCGGGCTTCATGGTTCAGGGTTTAGGCTTCATGGTTCAGGGTTTAGGGTTTAGGGTTCAGGGTTTAGGGTTTAGGGTTAGGACTTTCACGCTTAACTTAGTTGTCCAGGAACCTGCGGGAGTTCAAGGTTACCCTTTAGGAGTAGAAGGGGATTATACTACCCCAAAAAGGTTAAAGGTTACCTATTCTGCTACTAGGTTAAGGATTAAGGGCTTGCTGGGGAGTTGGGGCCTTTCGGGCCTTAGAGTTTAGGGTTTTTTGGGCTTTTGGGGCATGCGCGGGCCTTCAGAAACCTGTGACCCCGAAGCCGTATAAACCCAAAAAAATCCCTCATCAGCCTCACAAGCCCCAGAAAGCCTAGACTCTAGCTTCCCTTCGAATCCCCCACAGAAGGCATCCTAAACCCTACTTCCACCCACGAAAGGGACCCTACATTCCCTGCATTGAAGGCCGTAAGCCTTCCCTAAACCCTAAACCCTAAACCCTAAACCCTCGACCCTCAGCCCTGCATCTCCCCATAAAAGGCCCCTAAAGACACAAGGGCCCCGGCCAGAGCGGGTCATAGCTGTGCCCCGTGGGCTCCTGCACACACGGGCTTCAGGGGTTTAGGGCTGAGGGTTTAGGGTTTAGGGTTTAGGGTTTAGGGTTTAGGGTTTAGGGTTTTAGGGTTTAGGGTTTAGGGTTTAGGGTTAGGGGTTAGGGTTTAGGGTTTAGGGTTTAGGGTTTAGGGTTTAGGGTTTAGGGTTTAAGGTTTAGGGTTTAGGGTTTAGGGTGCTTCATCGTAGGATGGGGTGTAGGGTGTAGGCTGCGGTGTAGGGTTTGGGGCGGGCCGATAGCGTGTTCTGGGCTGCTGGGAGGGCTTGTTGGATGGTATTAACTACAGGGCTTTGGGACTCTGGGGCTTTGGACCTTAAACCCTAAACCCTAAACCCTAAACCCTAAACCCTAAACCCTAAACCCTAAACCCTAAACCCTAAACCCTAAACCCTAAACCCTAAACCCTAAACCACAGCTTTAAGGGCTCTAGGGTTCTTTTCGGCTCCTGCAAACTCGCCAGGCTGCCGACCTGCCGCGCCCGCAGGCGCTGGATCAGGGCCAAGGCCTGCTGTTGGGCTTCGGGTTTCCTTTGGGGTTTATAGCGGTTTAGGGTTTAGGGTTTGGGGTCTAGGGTCCAGGGTTGAGGGTTTAGGGTTTCGGGCTTTCCTTTGGGATGTATAGGGTGTGTAGGGTAATTAAGGCTCTCACCCGCGGAGAACTCTCGGCTCTACTCCCTGGGGTCCTGCTGGCGCTCGCGGGAGACTTCCGGCATGTCCGAACCTGGGGATGAAGGGTTAAGGGTTAAGGGTTTAGGGTTTAGGGTCAAGGCTTTAGGGTTTAGGGCGGTTTAGGGTTAAGGGTTTAGGGTTCAGGGCTTAGGGTTTAGGGAGGTTCAGGTTTAGGGGAAGATCTGCCATCCGCAGATGCGTTTGGGAGATGTCCTTCGAGTATCTTTGTGTTTAAACTGCCACGTGGGGCACATACTGCTGCAAGGGCTTACCATGCATGCGCCCAAGTGCATGTTTCATTGAGTACCCACACCCCATGGCAAGACCCTTGAAACACATTGAATCTCTCTCTGTCCGTCTCTGTCTTCGAGACTCTACCAAAGTGCTAAATGTCCCAAACAGGCCTGAAGCCCAACATCCCTAAACCCATCCAAAACCCCCCAAACCCTAAACCCCAAACCGCAAACCCTAATTAAACTAAACCCCCTAACCCTGAACCCTAAACCCTAAACCCACTCAGGAGCCACAACTTTTCGAGGCTCATGCTTCGACTGTCATCGCCCCTAAGGGAAGTCTCAAGGGTGCGCACCTGCTTGCGCCAAGAAGAAGGGCTTCGGGCAGCCACCATAGTAGCCACTAGGAGCTTGCGAGGGTTCAGGGTGTTTTTGTGGCTCGGCTGGTTTTTAGGTCTTCGGGAGCTTTTTCTGGCTTTCTTGGTCGTGGGTCGCATCCAGCATTTCATATCAGCTAAGTCTTTCTTTTGCCAGCTACTGAAGCCCAAAACCCTAGAAACCCTAACCCTGAACGAACCCGGCAGAAGTTCAACGTCTGCCGAGATCTCTCAGCACCGGTGCCTTCTGCTCAAGGAGCTCCTGCTCCTCGACAGAAAGGGTGGGACATACGAAAGAGGGGAGGGAGTTTGTTTCTGTTGCCTCAGTCGCAGGGCCCCAAATGGGTTTCTTCTCTCAAAGTATGGTCCCTTTTGGGGTTCCTGTTCTACTACGGAGCCTTGTATATTTAGGTTACCCAAACAAGGTTCATAATTTAGAGAGATTCCCCCGAAATTGCACCCCCAAGGCCCTTCCTGCTCGCTGGCGGAGAGCGCAGCTGCAAGCCGGCGTGAGCCGCTGGCTTCCTGGCAGAGACTCTTCCCGAACATCACCAGAGCTGGTCCTCTGATCATCTCTATGATATAGGTACGATACCCTTGTGGTCTATATAGCTTGTCGAGTTGTAGCCCTTATACTTATACACCCAGAAAGGAAGATGTTCAGCTACCGTTCGCTGCCCGCCTCTGTCAGCTCCTGACGGCAGCTTAGCAACCTCAGCTGCAGTGCGTTTGAATACTGTACTTCTACCCCACTTATGAGCCCCTGAGGTGCCCTAACATGGTTATAAGTACAGTTAAAAATACGGTTTCATTCGGTTTGGAGTTGGAGCTACTCTGGCCCGTGCCCAGTGCTAAAGAACACAGGTGTTGGGCAACCGGTAAGCTGCCTCAAGCCTGATTTAGCTTGGGGTGCCACTCAGATTGAAAGGAGGCGAAGGTCTCGGACTCCTGAAAGGCATGCGGTATCTCGCAAAAAGACAATGCTTGGCAGGCGCCCTCCCGCAGGATGCAATATGTGACTATGGGCAGGATCCTGCTGCAACCGCCCCTGCAAGGACACCACGCAGTCGTCGGCCACCTGGCGCAATGCGCCGGTACCGACTCTACTGTTCGCGGCTGGTGCTGCCATTGTAGCTGTTTTCAAGGGATGCTACAACTGCCTTTTCCAATCAATGCTCCTGCCAACGTCCTCCACCTGTTATGTTCGGGCCGCGAGCCTGGAGCTGCCAGATGGCTCTGGTCAGCGCGCTTTGGTGCGCCTCCTCATGCTCTTGCCTCAGAAAATGGGCAGCGCATCTCTAAATCGGCCAGCGAACTTCGGCATACCCTGCTTTTGACACAGGTGAATTCAGAGCTCTTCGGCCGTGCCTCAGGGTGGCTACCAGCTCCTCCTCGTTCTGACGCACCTGGCGAAGCTTGCGCAACGCTTTGAATGGGCCAGAGGCCCCACTCCCGCATGAGTGCCTTCTGAAGCTCCGCTGCGGCCTGCTCCTTCTCCTTCCTCAGTGTGGTGGTCACGATAGCGCCACGACGCCACTGTCTAACCCCTAATGTTGCTAAACTCAGCTCAACCCGAAGAGGTTTCGCATGAGCGAGAGAGAAAGAAACAGAGAGAGAGAGAGATGAAGAAAGAGAGAGAGAGAGATACAGAGAGAGAGAAAGAGAGAGAAAGAGAGAGAAAGAGAGAGAAAGAGAGAGAGAGAGACACGAATGCTGGAAATTAAGTGTGACGCTTCAGAGTCTGGAGCTGCTGCCGCAACGCGCTCACCTTGGCGTCAGCTGCGCGATGCAGGATGAGGGCTTCTGGGATCTCAGCAAGCTGACCTGAGAGAGCACGCACGACGGGCAAGAAGAACCAAGCATCGCACTTCGCCGGATGCTTCTTCCAAAAAGGCCTTGCCATCGCACGACACTGTCTTGACAGCCAGCCTCATCCCCCACACAAGTCTGCAGCGGTATGTATTCGCTACATGTTCAACAGTAAGCCATCTCGGGCACCTGAAATAAATGCATTTGGCGTTTCAGGTTAGAGTACAACTATTTTCAAGAGTAGAGCCCCCAAAGAAACCAGGCCGAATCTAGAGCAATTCCCAGTCAATGCTGTGCAGCTTGATGCGCACCTGCCGCTGCTCCGCGAACTCCGTCCGCAGGCGGGAGACGGCCTGGTCGACCCATGTCGACCCAGCGCCCAGAATGCGGCTTAAGGCTTATGCGGGTTCAGGATTTGTGGGGTTCATAGGGCATAAGGCTTACACGGTTCATAATGCTCAAGCCTTTGAGCCGAAGAATCGCCTTGGATTCCCCCAGACCGGGACCCGCACTTGAGGCCAGTCATGTAGGATTTTGAGGCCTTTGGGTCGATTTAGGGCGTGTAAGGATTTCGGAATCGGGGGTGTTAGGGTTTGTGGTTTAGGTTCCCTGTAAACCTCCGACACACACTCTCCCGTCCTCTCCCTCGCGCGACAGCTGCCTTGCCTGGGCCTGGCGAGGCGACCCAGCGAGCTTGAGGGAAGTCAGTCGCATTGCAAACGAAACGCCTGTGGCGCCGTTTAAGCCCTTCAGCCCCTCCGGATCATCTTTTGAATATAAGAGGCAGCCCCAAAGCACAAATCATAGACCCTGAGCCGATGAGCCCTAGAAACCCTATGAACCGCCCAGAACCCTGTGCCGGCAGACCTCCTGAAAGGCCAAAGCCGCTGTGTCGCGCTGGGCTTGACAGACCCGCAGCTCTTCGAGCAGCTCCTAACGAAGAGATTGCAGGGCCTTTGGGGGCTATAGGAGTGCAGTCGAGAGGTTCTGCTGGGAGTTTGCCGAGCCACATCACGCCTGAGGAAAAGACTCGACATGTTCGACAGGTTATAGCGAAGTCGCAGAGTTCACGGAATGCGCATCTCACCATGCCAGCGTGGCGGAGAAATTCATTGAGCCACCTCAAAAACAGTTGTAGCATCTAAACTTTAAATTGTCCTCAAGAGTTTGAGCAGTGCGTCGAAAATTCCTCCTGTCTGAAGATGGTCGCTTGCAGTGGCGCATCGCGCGTGTATTCTCAGTCTATCGAGCATCGTCGCTGGTGGGCTGCTTTAGCATCCCAGGATCAGCCGAACACGTAAACAAGAGAGACCCCCTCTCTGTCTCCTTCATCTCGGCCCGCACGTCAGCTGACTCCTTTTTGGAGCCTTCCAGTTCCCGCCTCGCACCAAACATCTCACCCTAAACTCCCTCACTCCCTCCAAAACCCGAAATCCTAAGCCAAGTCTCTGAACCCTTCTCCCAAAGTCAACCCTCAGCTCTAATATGACCCCAAAGACCCCCCAAAACAGACCCCTTAAAAACCAGGCCACAATATGAACCCACGTACACCCGCCCCACCCCCCCATAAAAACATCAGCCCTCCACACCCTTTCAACAAAAGGCCGCCTCAGAGCCTCGAGGTCCGCTGCGGGGGCCGAGCCGCCCTGCGAGGCCGCAAGCCGGTCCTGGAAGAGGGCCTCGGGCCGTGCGCGCGGGGGAAGGAAAGAGAGGAGGAGGCCGAACAAACGCTTAGGATTTCGAAGTGTTTTATTATTATTATTTTTATTTTTTTTTTTTTTTGGGGGGGGGGGGGGCTTACTGTAGGTTTCTATAGGGTTTAGAGTCTATAGAGGGTTTTGGGCTGGTAGGACTAAAGGTGTAGGAAGGGTGGGAGGATTTGCGACGTTTTTGGGGCCAGAGGGTCTGACGAGTGACTTTTTGCGAGATTGGGCTTGGGAAGTTACGAGTTATGCAGCTATGTATGCATAATTGTCACTTTCGGGGTTGAGGCTCGAGAGTTTGGTACAGTTGAGGGCTTCACGTCACGCAGACTCAGCATGCGGGAGCTCGAGAAGCTCGCCACTTTGCTCCGAAGATTCAATTCTCTTGCATCTGGGAATCATGTACTCTTGACACCTTTGCCACCCATTCGTCATGTGGCAAAATGGCCAACCCTAAATCACTGAAGGCCATTCTTTGAAAGCCACATGCGGAAAAATCAGATGCTTGGGCAGGTTCTGGGCCAGCGTCTGCAGCCCCACATCCGTGAACCTCTTGTTCTCTTCAAAATCCAAGTGCAGAGAGGTCAGCTGCTTGGGCAGGTTCTGGGCCAGCGTCTGCAGCCCCACATCCGTGAAGTTCTCGTTGAGCCCAAAATTCAAGTGCAGAGAGGTCAGCTGCTTTCGTTGCGCGCAAAAAATTCAAGTGCAGAGAGGTCAGCTGCTTGGGCAGGTTCGGGGCCAGCGTCTGCAGCCCCACATCCGTGAAGTTCTCGTTGTGCCAGAAATCCAAGTGCAGAGAGGTCAGCTGCTTGGGCAGGTTCTGGGCCAGCATCTGCAGCCCCACATCCGTGAAGTTCTCGTTGTGCCAGAAATCCAAGTGCAGAGAGGTCAGCTGCTTGGGCAGGTTCTGGGCCAGCGTCTGCAGCGCCACATCCGTGAAGTTCTCGTTGAGCCCAAAATTCAAGTGCACAGAGGTCAGCTGCTTGGGCAGGTTCTGGGCCAGCGTCTGCAGCCCCACATCCGTGAACCTCTTGTTCTCTCGAAAATCCACGTGCAGAGAGGTCAGCTGCTTGGGCAGGTTCTGGGCCAGCGTCTGCAGCCCCACATCCGTGAAGTTCTCGTTGTGCCAGAAATTCAAGCGCAGAGAGGTCAGCTGCTTGGGCAGGTTCTGGGCCAGCGTCTGCAGCCCCACATCTGTGAACCTCCGTTTCTCACGAAGATCCAAGTGCAGAGAGGTCAGCTGCTTGGGCAGGTTCTGGGCCAGCGTCTGCAGCCCCACATCCGTGAAGTTCTCATTCCACCCAAAATTCAAGTGCAAAGAAGTCAGCTGCTTGGGCAGGTTCTGGGCCAGTGTCTGCAACCCCACATCCGTGAAGTTCTCGTTGCACCAATATTCCAAGTGCAGAGAGGTCAGCTGCTTGGGCAGGTTCTGGGCCAGCGTCTGCAGCCCCACATCTGTGAACCTCTTGTTCTTTCGAATATGCACGTGCAGAGAGGTCAGCTGCTTGGGCAGGTTCTGGGCCAGCGTCTGCAGCCCCACATCCGTGAAGTTCTCGTTGTGCCAGAAATCCAAGTGCAGAGAGGTCAGCTGCTTGGGCAGGTTCTGGGCCAGCGCCTGCAGCCCCACATCCGTGAAGTTCTCGTTGCGCCAAAAATCCAAGTGCAGAGAGGTCAGCTGCTTGGGCAGGTTCTGGGCCAGCGTCTGCAGCCCCACATCCGTGAACCTCTTGTTCTCTTCAAAATCCAAGTGCAGAGAGGTCAGCTGCTTGGGCAGGTTCTGGGCCAGCGCCTGCAGCCCCACATCCGTGAAGTTCTCGTTGTGCCAGAAATCCAAGTGCAGAAAGGTCAGCTGCTTGGGCAGGTTCTGGGCCAGCGCCTGCAGCCCCACATCCGTGAAGTTCTCGTTGTGCCAGAAATCCAAGTGCAGAGAGGTCAGCTGCTTGGGCAGGTTCTGGGCCAGCGCCTGCAGCCCCACATCCGTGAAGTTCTCGTTGTGCCAGGAATCCAAGTGCAGAGAGGTCAGCTGCTTGGGCAGGTTCTGGGCCAGCGCCTGCAGCCCCACATCCGTGAAGTTCTCGTTGTGCCAGAAATCCAAGTGCAGAGAGGTCAGCTGCTTGGGCAGGTTCTGGGCCAGCGTCTGCAGCCCCACATCCGTGAAGTTCTCATTCCACCCAAAATTCAAGTGCAAAGAAGTCAGCTGCTTGGGCAGGTTCTGGGCCAGTGTCTGCAACCCCACATCCGTGAAGTTCTCCTGGCTGTCGAAGGTCAAGGAGAGCAGCTGGAGGCTGTAGGGATGCTTGACAGCGAGATCCTGTCGGCAGATCATAACAACAAGACATGGGACCTGACTGCGCTGTCTGAGAACACGCGCACGCGTGCTGTACTGACATGCAAGCAGGACGACTGTCGGAAAAGCAGTGTCCTGGAGGAACACATCGTCGTCGAAGGCTGCCCCAAAGCGTATGCGCAGAGTGGACAAGTTCGGGTCCTCCAAGAAATGACTGGCCAGCGACCAGGCGTCACCAGCATGGCTGCAGTCTGCGCCGAAGTCGAGAGTGAGGTCTGCCGGGTCGGGGGACAGCAGCATCTTCGCGACGGGGGTCCAGGCTTCCGGCAAGTCGCACAAGGCATCCGGGCAGTGCCGCCCCAAGAGCCGCAGGAGCTCCACCATGCCAGCTACGTCGCCCTGCCAGCAGCCCAGCATGCACTTCAGGAGGACGCGGCTTTCGGCGACGAACTCCTGCCGCTTGTCCTCCACCTCCCGCCGCTCTGCGCCCGATGCCTGCATGGCCCTGATCATCAGCAGGCTCAGCTGCGAGAACATGAGGAGGAAGCGCACGGCCAGCTCAGACTTCGGGTCTTGCAGCTCAGCCTTGGCCGCCATCAGCATCTTGTCCCTGGCCTTCCGGACCTCCCACACCCACTGCGGCAGACCGCGGTACTCGGGCAGACTTGCCCCGAAGTCCTGAAGAACGGACGACACGGTCTGCGATTCGATGAGCCACTCCCAGCACTGCGCGCCCTTGATGGCATCCTTCAGCCGCCGCTCCGCGCCCCGCATGCCCTCGGCCAGCATCGCCACGTCCCGGTGCACCAGGGCCATCTCGGCCTTGAGCTCCTGCTTCGCCGCCACCACGACCGTCTCCGCATCGAAGCAGACGGCACCGGCCCGTGTCAGGATGCCGCCGCCGAGACCAGGCTGCACGACCTCGGTTTCCACGGCGTCGTGCAACGTGTCGAAGTAGGACGCTTCGTTGCCTTGCATGGAATGGCTCGAGAGTGGGAAGCCCGGCCTTCCGACAGAATGGGCCTGCCCCACGTGCACGAAGCCGTCGCGCTCCAGGGGCACTCGCGGAACTGGGTCGGCTCGGTTCACGAAGCGGGCTGTCCGACTCTGCAGGCCCAGCTGCTCATAGAGTCTGAAGAAAGGTGCCGTGCCCACCCTGGGGCTTCCGAAGGTCACCACCGCCTGCACGCGACAGCCCAGCTTCAAACGCAGGTGGACGGCAGCCAACGTGGCCAGGGCTCCGCCCAAGGAGTGGCCTGCCAGGTGAACCACAGCGTGGGGCGCGCTCCCTCTGCAGGCAACGCGCCCGGCCAGCCACGCGAGAAGCTCCGACTGGACGGCGGCGTAGGCGCGTTGGAAACCTCGGTGAACTCCAACCTCGACGCCCATCCTGGCCAGGTCTTCGGGGCTGCAAAGGTCGGCGCTCAGCGGCTCGATTGCTGAGTCCAAGTTGGTGTGCCAGTTGGCGCCAGACCGCACTCCCAAGTGCCCTTCGGAAACCGTGCCGCGGAAGGCAATCTCCACTGAGCCGCCCGGGAGCTCTCTGCCGATGATGCGCGTGTTGGTGGGCCGATGATGCGTGATGACCTCCCAGACATGCTCATCTTGGGACACGCAGCCGCGGCTGGCTGCGTGATACGCTGCGTTGGCCATTCGCCAGTAGCGGCTGACCCCGCTCTTGCAGAAGGAACCACCTTGCAGCAACGACTCGGGGGACATCTCTGCGTCGGCCTCCTCAACGTCGGCCTGGATACTGGTATCCGTGGCAGGCTGGGACGCTTCTTGGCCGGGTAGGTGCAATAAGTTGGCGGGGACATTGAACTCCCCAAGTTGCATCTCCGGCAACTGCTCAGGCGCTGCGGCCTGGCTTTCGCTCTCCACCTGGTGCTCGCAAACTCCTACTCTTGGGGCTTCTACCGATCTCGTTTTCCTGGCTGACCTACTAGTGCGCACCCGGCATGTGAACGACCAAAGGTTCAGGGTCCGAAGATTGTCGTGATTGGGATGAAGCCGTGCCTGCGAATGACTGGAGCCGGGGGAACTCCGATCGTTTGCGCGCTCTTCTGCTTGAGCCTGTTCCGGAACATCCGAAGACTCCGGCGGAAGCTGTGAGAGTGCCTGCCCAGCCATGTCCTCGGCAGACGCATATGGTCTTTCGAAGACTGCTGTAAGCCAACGAATCAAGTCAGTCAGTCAATATTCAATATTCAACACTCAGGACATACAGGTATAAATAGGTTTGAGGGCTTGAGAGTCGTGAGTCTTGACAAGCATCATCCCAAACGGCTTCCAGGAAGCCCTCCTTCTGCGACAAGCTCGCTCGAGCCTCCTCCAATTCGGCGTCCTTCTGCTGGAGGGTCTTGCGAACCTCCTGAAGGTCGGCGTCCTTCTCGTGGATGGTCCTTCCCGAGGCTTCGGCTGGAGACTCTAAGTCTGTAATGTCATGTGAGACATCAGATCATGGCCCAGGGAACCACCCAACAAAACGTGGCATTTCGTGGAATCCCTGGCCCTAGACCTAGATGCCCTATAGAGGTCCTTTCCAGTCGCTCCACCTCCCTCAGCTCTTCGGCTGAGGGTGCCGGCGCCGGGTCCCCGCTCACACTCTCCGGCGCAAGCTGAAGCAGCCTGCCGAGCATCTCCCTGCGGTCGCAACCATCCGCCACGGAAAGCACATCCCGCGCCGTGAGCGCGTTGAGCTGGCCCAGCATCCTGCAGAAGTCCTCCTCCTCGTCGGCTTCCGCCACTTGCACGTGGGGAGGGCCGTGGGATGTGATGATGCAATAGCGGCATGTTGATGCACCCCCGAAACTGCGGAGGTAGCTCAACCAAGGCAAGCTGTCACGAAGCCCGATGAAGGCGCCCTCCTGGCTTGGAGGAAACCTGCCGGGCGGGGGGGGGGGGGACTCGCGCGCCAGTTGCACATCGACTCCGAGGCTCCCAACATGCGCCATCACTCATCTGCTTTGTAGACCCGAGCCTTTTCCAAGAGCCGGCGGTGCCGTCATCCGGCCATTCCTTGAAGTCCTCCTTGCGGAGAAAAGGCATGGGCCTGGCGTCGGCAAAACATGGGCAAAGTCACACGTCCACAGCCCCATGAAGCCTATGAACGGATGGGCGAAAACCGGAGCTACCGGCTAGAAGGCGTCGCATATGTCATCAGCAAGTGCGGTAGAACGTGGTGCTGTCAGTGCTGTCTCACTCTCTTCCGGCAGGCATTCCGGGCCTGAAGTCTCGGCGCCACCAAACTCTACCTGGGCCCTTTGGTCCAAAAAATGGGCTGAGAAAGCCATCCAAGTCATCCAAGGTGGTCGCAAGCTCCGCTCTGCAAGCAGTTTGCAGCCCTCGCACGGAGAATCCACCAAACCCGGCGTCGCTAAGGCAGCAAGTTGCTGCTGGCAAGTTACAGGAGGGCACCTGAGGTTCCGGCCCGCTCCTTTTCCCAAAGCTCCTGGGCCTGCGCTCTGTATGGCACTATGAGACTCATGAAGCTGCACATGAAGGGGGGACATGAGGGGTCGAACGGCCGAATGCTTTGTGTAGTATTGTGCGCGCCTCGGCCAGCTGCCTTTGGCAGGCTTCCGCGCGACCTGCAGACTCGCTCTGAGAGCGTTCTGCCACTGGTAGCACTTCGGCACACAGAGGCCCGCCTCTCTCATACTCCCTCTTGCGGCCGCATGCTGACACTATTGCTGCTAGAAGCATCGCACGGCCCCACCGGCAAGTCTATACCACAAGCATCTACTTCGTCGGGTCGGCCTATCAGAAGTTCCCGCTCCTTCAGGCAGATCCGATTCAGAAAGCCCACCTTCGTCCCAGGACTCAAGGGCCGATGCAGAAGAACTGAATCTGCTGACTTGGTGCTGGGAATTGCCAAAATCGACACGGATAGAGCCCATGTTTTGCATAGTTTTCGCACAGAGACTCGCTACCAGGATAAAGGATGGTTTCAACTGCCTACGATTTCTGGCATGTTCTGGCCATGAACCTCGGCAGGCCCGCCTGCTCCTTCCGCTCTTTCCGCTCTTCCTCGAGGTCTTTCTCCAAGGTGGCAGCCACCTTAAAGGTCGCGTCCGGTCATCACAAGAGTTCTGCGAACATCCTTGACAGGCTTACTTCAATCCTTCAGCCCGAGATTCCCCGAACTCTGCAGACGTACTCGCTACATCAGCATTCACGCTCGGGCTTCGCACGGTGTCCAAGGCTATTGCGACCTTCGTGGGGCTGGTACCTGGCACTTTGCCATGTACAAGCCGGGTGCACGAAACAATGGAGCTCCCAATGGACTCCCAATTCCGAAGCTCTAGAACTCATGAGGATGGCGAGATGCTACAATAGGCACGCACCCAAAGAAGCCCTAGTACTCTGCTATCCCCTGGCCGCTCATCATATGAGCCGTCAGCCGACTCTCTCTGGACCTCTTAACACTTCATGGAACCCTCCTAGGAAGGTTTGAGTCGCGTGCCGCTGAACAGGCTCTCCGCCACATGGCTCCTCACAATTACCAGGAGCTAGAACCCCCAAAAGACAGTCCAAGCAGATGGGTCACAAGTGGATGTCGGGATTGGATTGCAGGGTATATACATTTTCCCTGTTCCGTTCCGCTTTCGGTTCGACGGCTAACTTTATGCGAGAAAGGTGTCCAGGGCATCGGACATCAAATTCACCCAAATCCGAAGGCTCCCAACCTCCTGATGCCCTGTAGACCAAAGCCCTGCCGTTTCTCTCCTCTGCCAGTCAGGCGACATTGGAGCCTGCGCACCCCTTGGCCTTGAGATGGCGGTCCTAAAGCGAAACCTCTAATAACTTTATTACTTTGTTGGATGGCATTCACTCATAGACCTATCTGGGCAGAAAGCCGTCTGGCGTCCGGAGAAGCACTGAAATAACATGCACGGAGACAGATCCTGCTACACTCGAGACCACGCAAGAAATTAAGGGAGAGCCACTGGGGTGAGCTCCCTGAGACCCAAGCCACCGCACACCAAGATTCTGTTCAAAAACCTCATCCGAAAGCACGAGAGCTCTCAGCGGAAGGCTAGCATTGCAGGACCATGCTGCGCGTCGGCATGGCGTCGCAGTCTATATGGACGTCAGGAACTGCGCAGCACCGTGCGTCACATGTCACGTGTGACAGATCTTGTGCTTTCTGAAACATTCAGCTTTATTAAACTTGCGTCGTGCGTCTCAGTTTGTTCTGGGCTTTCCATGCCAGCAGTGTGGGTTTCCTCTTTTCATCTTCGGAAGCAGCTCGTTTGAACAGGGTTTTGGCGGACAGGATTTCGGATGGGCAGGCGAAGGCTCCGGCACAGTGTCCATTAAGCGTAACAGTGGGGTCAGCTCTTGCCTATCTGATGCGCAGCTCTGCACGTTTTCGCGGGGAGCCCGAGGGGAGCTGATGCCCACTAGCCGGAATCCTCAGCTTGCGGAACGCTGCAAGTGGTAGAGCTTCTCGTAGCTCCTCAGCATGATGTCAGGAGGCGCAATCGGCTGCAGCTCTGAAAACCGACATCCCCTGATAATGATGCGCTGCCAGCTCCACACAGGCTGCTCTACACGTGCAGAGCTCAGGTGCTTCAGCAGTTTTGTCCTTTCGAGGCCCTTGGCCCCCCACCCTGGCAAATTGTCCAACTCCACAGTCTCCTCAAGCGGCTCCCAAAAAAGCTTGAGGCAGAAGCTTCTGGAGCAAATTTTGAACCCAGCAAGACTTCACAACAACCCGCAATACCAAGTCCGGTCGGCTGCTCGACTCTAGTCCCAAAGAGCACACAAGACCGCCATGGGAAGTGCCTCGAGCTTCCACCCCACGCTCAGCGCATCGAAGAAAGGGCCGTCGGCGTTCACTCCGCCGCGTCCTGGCGCTCATATGCTGCACGCTGCGGCACGCTCGATTTCACGAAATGAATGCGACAGGAAATCTAGTAACTAGTATACTGTAGGCTGTAGGAACTTGAGGAATGTTCTCAAAACGTCTCCATCCCTCTGATGCTGAAATTCCAAATTCAGTCCTGATGTGGTTGAAAAGTCACATTGCAACTAATCACAAGGCTGAAGCAGAAGCAGCCGACTCAGCAGAAGAAAGCCTTCCCCGACGTAGAGTAGAGCGTCTCCCGCATAGCGGGCCAGGCACCTGGCACCCAGTAGAATTGCAGCTCTGGGGGTATATAGCAGTTCAGAGTTTCAATGGGCTTATATGGGTTCATATGGGTAATATGAGTTTAATCGTACCTGCCATGGCAAAAGAAACCCCAAGAACCCCAAACAACATCCAAACCATGGCCGGGGTTGCCTCATGGCCATCGGGCCAGGCGGCGGATAGACCAGCAGCAGCGTCCGGCCTTGACTGCGGCGCATCGCCTCCTGCGGAAGGAGGTCACGGCCCAGACAAGCCGAACTCAGCAGCCAAAAAAGATCACTTTAAAACAACTCGCAACAACTTGGGATGTTCCCCCTGATACTAGCAATCCTTAATCGAAAAATAGGGGGGTACTATAATCCCTATGAAGGATTAAGGACTGCTAGTATTCGAGGAACATCCCAAATACAAACCCGCAAAATCAAAAACCGACAGGGGCCCTTTTCCAGGAGCCCTCAGTCCTCTGCATCCGCTTGCTGCACGTCCGCACCGCCCACAGCAAGCCTACGCCAGGGAGACAAGGACCCCAGCACAAAGTGCCCAGTGTCCAGCCGAAGTGCACACGAAGCCTCAACCAGGTATAGAAATTGAAGTACTGCAACCACCGTCTGGCCAAACTGAAACCTCACTTCCACCCGGGCGTGCCGGGAGGTCTTCGCACCCTCTCCGAAGCGGCTCGGGCTGGAGTGGTCGTCGAAGGCAGTGACCTCCAGGCAGGCAAATTGCCCGTTCCGCCGGTCGCGCTGCACTTTAAGGGCATGCTGCCGCACCCAATGAACCCTGAACCCAAGAACCCCTAAACCTTCATAAACCCGAATAAACCCTCTCATACCCCAAGAACCCTAAACCCTATACACCACATGGGATTTCGGGGCACGCCTCTTGGCATTCCGCACGTCGAGACGACCTCTGAGGTGCCCGGCATCCGCACCGCGCCGGCGAAGCTCAGACTGCCACTGGCCCTCGCCAGCACCAACCTCAACAAAACAGCAGAAAAACACAAATATCAATAGTTAAAAAATAATAATCATAATACAAAGATAAGAAACGAAGTGATTCAGCGACATCCTATGTAAGTATGGGACAGCTTACATTGAGCCCCATAGACTTTCAACGATTGCAAAACCCGAGCCCTCCAAAAAACACACCGCCTCCACCAGGGGCGAGTGCCGCGCCACCAGCTGCATTGCGGCCTCATGGCTTGGAGGAGTGGGAGATTGCGCCCGAAGCCCCGCGTTGAGAGAGTTTAGGGTATGGAAGTCACAGCCATGTTCAGAAACTCAGAAGAGAAGCAAAACCCCATAACCATTCGGCCGGCCTCTGTCCACTTCACGTTCCCGTACGTCCGGCGCCTCGCGATGGGCAGCTTAAGAGGCTTGCGAGGGGCGAGCACATGCTGCCAGCTTCTGCCCTAATATGCATATATGGCATAGCATAATACAATATAATATACGAATACAATATTGCCATACATCTTGAAATCTTGAAATCTTGAAACTCAGGAGCTCGGACGGGAAGCCTGTAATAACTTGAAGTCGATGTGCCTTGCCTCTGCTCCACCTCCTCGCGAGTCAGCGAAGGGTACATGACGCGATGCGCCTGCGCAAGTGAAGGGCATCAGCACGTGCTATGAGCAAGGGCTCTGTATGTTTGTCATTGGCGTCCAGCGTATATACACTGTGCCATGATTTACGAAGCCACTCAGTATTCAAGAGCCTGCACCATACATGTACAGGGCAGCTGACCTGAGGTATGCCCGTCGGTGTGATATTGATAATTCTGAAATGCTTTCCGCGGCTCGAATATCATGTCACTTGCCAGGCCACTTCCTGAAGCGGACCGCGAAGTACATCTCGCGAACTGCCAGCTCTAAATAGCTCTGACGATCTATGCGAACGTGCAGACTTCTGCAGAAGTATGATTCCAAATGGCATCAAGGCTTCTTTGTCTGCCAAAGGACAGGGTGAGCGCTCTGCTGAACCAAATTGTCAGAAACATGTGTTCATATCCAACCGCTATGGTTCCATTTCCCAGTGCATCGACCTCCTTGTGCAACAGCTTCTGTAGTACTAACTAACATCAACGTCAAACATGTCTCTTCGAAATTACGGAAAAAGGCTAACATGGCCATGTCTCCTGCAAGCCTATGAACCTGTTCCAGCTAACTTGACAAAACTCTCCTAACCATCAACCTACTTTTGTAAGGCCGGAGTTTAAAGCAAGCTCAAGCCAAGAAATTCGCGAGATCCTGCCACCTCCCATGCCAGTGGCTGGCCTCCTCCACGAGCTGGGCCCGGAGCTGCAGCAACGCTTGGGCAGAGTTGCCGTCGCCAGCTGCCAGAAACTGGCTTTGATTTACTGAGGGGGGCCGTGAAAAGGCCAACGCAGCTGAGACTGCAGGCTTGCGACTGCTCTTGCAAGAGGGGTTGGCTCAAGGACGCTTGGCTTGCCACACCATGTACCGAGTGAGACTCACTGTTCCTCATGGACCATCCGAAGCATGCCAGCGCCGCCTGTGGTCACCACGGCACGCGCCCGCCTCAGGCTGCAAAGGGCCATCATGAAGCACATGCTGTTCTATTACTGGCAAAAAAACGCCATGGAACAGTGGACTGCTCATAGCTTGCAGAGAATCGGCGTAAGAGTGAATATTTCCCAAAATAGGGGTACCCCTTGTATGCCCCAAATAGATTACACCAAGCTCTCCAGATCAGCACCCCTCCAAGGGAAGCACCTGTCCGTGCCTACCGCTACTTGTGAGGGCGGCGAAAGCCCGACGAATCCCTGCTTCCGAGGGCAATGCGGGAACGAGCCTACAGGCAAAGAATGCTTCAGGTCATGCTGCGTTCCTTTCTGGCAGGTGCAGAGTGGCGTGAAGGCTGTTGCACACCGGGCATTGGCCGATTGGCTGATCGTTCTCCTCGGGAAGGTGCTGGCAAGCGGCACAACGTTGAGACGCCCGGGGCACAGGCCTCAACCAGATGTGAATAGATTACAATCCCCTAAAGGGGACCCGCAAAAACGGTACCCCCTTAATTTAGCAAACCCCCGTATCGCAATCACTGTTCAAAGGCAGCTGGGGCATCCCGCTGGTCTGCCGAAGCCATGATGTCGCGGAGCTTCTGTTCGCGCTCCTTCGCCGCAGACACTAAAGTCACTAAAGAGAGGCACGAATGGCAACCGAAAACTCCAAACCCTAAAAGCCCTGAAAACCCTAGAAACCCTCCAAAAACCTATAAACCCTATACATCCTAAAGCTGATAAACGCCCTAAAATCCAAATAAGCTCATTCCCAGCACCCCTTCTCGGCACCCGGGCGCGTCGGGCTCGCAGCAGGCCCTGGTCGAGTCCCAGGAGCAGCCTGATAAGGCCCAGGTTTGGCGCGAGGTTTAGGGTTTAGGGTTTAGGGTTTAGGGTTTAGGGTTTAGGGTTTAGGGTTTAGGGTTTAGGGTTTAGGGTTTAGGGTTTAGGGTTTAGGGTTTAGGGTTACACAGTGCCGACCCGAACTATTTCACCTACAGCCGCTTCAACCCCCCCTGACGCGTCAAAGAACACCTCCATGTACACCCTAAAGGTCCCACCCTTCACACGCACGTACTCCGAAAACATCCTTAACGTATTCCTTAACATGAAGAGGGATCCTAGGAGGACGTCAGGAACAGTACATAATATGAAATGGCCCGATATAACCTTAAAATGCTCTTCAACCCAAAGCTCTGAAAAACCTCAAAGCCCTGACGCATCCTCAGATTGATCAGCAAGACCAAACCTTACAAACCCTAAACCCTAAACCCTAAACCCTGAACCCTAAACCCTAAACCCTAAGCACCCCAAGTCCCTAAGACCTAAGCCCTAAACCCTAAAGCCCTGTGCGAGGCGCTGAAAGGCTGAGTGCTGCGCTGGGCCCTGTCATCGACCTGCACATCCTGGGGCAGAGTTTGTCGGGCTTAAGGTTTAGGGCTTACAGGGGGTGGAGTAATTTTGAATATTTTCTTAAAGACCGCGGCCCCAGTTATAGGGTTGGGGTTCAGGGTGGGGGTTTAGGGCTTATGGGGCTTGGTGTTTACAGGGTTGAGGGCTTGTAGGGTTTTGGTGTTTTGGTGCCAGAGTTGAAATGGCTTGCACAGCCTCTTCTGCATAGAGGCTTGCAAGACCCCCTTTAGCACGGTCTAGGGATTCGGGCGACAACTGCGGCTACCTACAGCCGACTGCATTGATCAGCTCCCTACATGGTAGTCCCTCTTGTGGGTACCCCAAATGTCAAAGAGAGTCGTAGCATAACAGGGGCCAGCAAACAACATGGTAATCCTCATCTGCCGAGGTCCTGGAAGAAGGCGTCCTGAAGCTCCCGCACCGCCAGGCCTTGACAGCCACACTCAGTAGGAGAAAATTCGGAACTCGAAAGTAGCGTGGGACAGGCCCCTGTACTGTGGGGGATGACTACTACTACTACTACTACTACTACTACTACTACTACTACTACTACTACTACTACTTCTACTACTACTACTACTACTACTACTACTACTACTACTACTACTACTACTACTACTACTACTACTACTACTACTACTACTACTACTACTACTATCTCCTTATTATTGGGTGGATTCCTGGATTCCTGCGGATTCTTTCTACTTCGGGACGACTGTACGTAGATACATCCGCAAGGCTGTCACAACCCGTTCCATTGCACATGGGCCCCCGGCCTACGCCCAGAACGGCGGAGCCGCCTTGCAGACCGCGCCACGCCACCCGGCCTGACTCGCAACGTGCTCAGCGTTGGACAACCGCGGAGCATACCATCCTTGACAGATCAGCAGGGAGAAGCCTACCTGCATGCGACAGGCGTGCTGGAGCTGCTAGAGAGATATGACCCCAAACCTTGGGACGGACCGCCGCAACCTTTAGGATGTAGGATTTAGGATTTAGGATATAGGATATAGGATATAGGATTTAGGACTTCGGATTTCGGATTTCGGATTTCGATTCAGGATTTAAGATTTAGGATTCAGGACTTAGGATTTAGGATTTAGGGTTTTTTCCAGGGGCTCGCAGGGCCTCCCAGAACCCTGGGGCCTTTTAGTTTTCTAAACAATGCCAGCCTCCCCATCAGGGGGCCTCCCAGAGGCCTCCCAGAACCTTTCAGGGGCCTCCCAGGCTGTTTATGAGGGGTTCACTGAATGTTTTTGCAGATATGTTTCTAAGCAGACGAGGCAAGAACTATGAAGAAGGGACTCGGGTAAGTCCCGAACGAAATCTGCCAGCCGTCATCGGTGAAGTCACTGCTTCCAGCCAGTCGGCACATGGGCAATTCGCTAGTTATGGTTAGGGTTGAGGACTTAGGGCTTACATGGGGTTTAGGGATCCCATTTTGGGGTAGCCTAAATGATGTGGCTCTGCTAGGGATGAAAGCTTGTGGCACGGTATACTGTGCTGCGTCATCTTTTCGTTAATGATTCATGGGACGTCGTGCTGCGAACGTTGAAGGAAGTATCTCCTTTGAGCTTCGTAGCGTCGCGAGCCTCGTCGTAACATGCAGATGCCTGCCATCTGTAAACCGGCCTGTGCTGGCCTGAAGCCTTTGCAAGGACCTTGCAGATGCAAAAGCACGGTTTCTGGCGCGGTTCAAAGGCGAAAGGTCGGCCACCTGTCTGAAGACAGCGGAATCCTCGGCCATTAGAGTCCACTTCAAGCTTCCAGGCCCATCGGAAACCCTCCCCCACCCACAAAATGCCGCCCGCCAGACCCAATGACAGCAGCCAAACAACTGCTGCAAAAACACCGCTGCTGCTGTTCTTACAGAAACAATACAGGCAGTGGCTGCCTGAAACCGTTTTGTTACCGATGCAGTCTGCAACAGTGACCACTGGCAAGTGATTCTAGAGAAAAAAAAAGCTTGAGCTCAGGACGACATTGGCTCCAGGCTGGACACTCCTGGTATACAGATTCGCTCACGCAGGTACTCGTAGCTACCATCACTAAAGCACCTGACCAGTGTGGCCAACAAAAAGATGTTCATATTACAAGTTCACAGTTCAGAGGGTCCTTAACGGAAGGAACAAGTTTAGGGCAGCTGTACCACTAGCCGATCAGTTCTCGTCAGCCACATGCTGAGCTCGCCCGACTGCTAAGTGAGAACTGCAAACACCCAAGAGTAGAACCTAGAGCCGCAATGAAACCAACGCTTTGAAAATGTTGGCACTTGGCGTGCTGGTGACCCGCTGCACTGCCCAAGAAAAATCGCCGTGAACTATCGACTTCTAAGACCTTTGAGTCGACTTGCCTTATTGTGGCGCCTTAATTTCGGTACAGTCTTTCTAGTCTAAAAATGAGGATTTCGGGCAGGGTTCAGGGTTTAGGGTTTGGGGTTTAGGGTCCTTCGGGCTGAGGGCTTAGGGCTGAGGACCCGGAACTTCGATCAACCCCGCAACATCTTTGATCAGCACCCATGGGCCACAGCCCTACTTTACTTTTTGGGTATAAGTAGATATAACAGGAACCCAGAACCAAAAACAGTTTTGAAGTATAGTACTCCAAAACCCAGACAGGGCCTTTGCCGCCAGATGGCGGAGCATTGCCTTTCTTGCCGCCCTTGCCTTCGGCAAAGGTCGAGAACAAACACGAAGCTTGAGCTTTGCTAGGATGAAGGCTTCAAGGGCTTACAGGGTTTAGGGGTGTAGGGTTTTAGCTTAAGAGGCTGGCTTTTATTAAGGCTTTAAGGCTTTCGGGGGTTTTGGGGTTTAGGGTTCACAAGGCTAAGGGGCCAAGAAATGTTCAATAGCGGTTCAGGAGCGGGCAGGTTGGAATCTCAAGATCTGCTAGGTTGCCCAGTAGCCTAGGAATAAACAGGGTGCCCTTCTTGGCATAAAGGGGATTATAAGGGAACCTAAACCCCAAAAAGGGAATAAGGGCACTACTGGTTATCCTAGTTTGCACATTCCTGCACTCAAGCCGTCAGCCCCTAGCCCTGGAACCGTGATTGTCACGAGCGTCTGCTGCGCAAGGAGACCCTTTGGGTAAGTAGCATCCGTTATCAAACAAAGAAACCCTAACCCTAAACCCCTGAAGCCTAAACTGTACAATCCCCAAACTCCGAAACCCTGACCTCGATAACTTCTGAAGCCCTAAACCCAAGGCCTGATTTCTATCACCCTGATCACTAACTTCTGAAACCCTAACCCAGGGCCCTTAACCCTCATCATGGCCCCTATACTCCCTACACCCTAGAACCGGAGCAGAGCCTCTTGGACGAGACTCGCCCTGCAGTCCAGGGTTTAAGGGCTTCGGGGTTAGGATTTCGGGGGTTCAAGGTTTCAGGGTTTAGGGTTTTAGGCAAGGATGTTGCAAGGTTTGAGGGCTTGGGGCTTCAGGATTTACATAGGCCCGGATTGTGGGGTTCAGGGTCTAGGGCTACACCGGTTGCAGAGTTGGCGGTTTCAAGTTTGCCAGTTGAGGCTTCGCGTCAGGCTACTCTTGAGGAACCACTGGAATGGGTTTCCTCACAGAGAGATGCGGCCAAAATCCCTGCAACCCTACAGCCCTACTTGAAACCCCATAATAATATAAGCCCCTAAACCCAAAATTTGATCCCTTTCAAGCCCCCATAAGACTACAAAAGCATAGATCTCTTGAGTTTTGTTCTCTCGTTGAAGGCTTCTCCCCGAGGACCCCAAAGCCTAAACCCGAACCACCAAACCCCTGAACCTTCAATCCTAAACCTTAAACCCCAACCCCCCAAACCTTAAACCCCAAACCCTTAAACCCCCTAAGCCCAAGCAGAGCCTGCGAGCCGTGGCCTTTGCCACCTAGGGCGTTCCCGAAGGGCTCAGATTCATGCTCATTGAGGGTTCCTTTGGGCCTAAACCCTAAACCCTAAACCCTATAAACCCTAAACCCTAAACCCTAAGGTTCAGGGTCCTTGGGGTTGAGAGTTTTTGGTCCTCGAGCTTTGAGGTTTTAGGCACGGTTTTGGGCTCTAGGGTTTTTTTCGGGTTCTACAACCTAAACCCTAAACCCTAAACCCTGGGTCTTAGCATTTAGGGTCCCCTAGGGTGTGAGGTGACCTGGTTTTTAGGGCTGAAGGTCTATAGGGCTCGCACGCCAGCACCGCAAGGTTGCCTCATGATGTCATAAACAGGGTTTAGGGTTTAGGGTTTAGGGTTTAGGGTTTAGGGTTTAGGGTTTAGGGTTTAGGATTTAGGGTTTAGGGTTTAGGGTTTAGGGTTTAGGGTTTAGGGTTTAGGGTTTAGGGTTTAGGGCAGCTGGTTGACAAGCGCAACTTGGGGCAGATCAGGCATTCTGGGCGAACAGCCGAAGAAAAACCCTTGTGTACCCTTCTCTCAAGGCTCTGGTACAGCTCGTTAAGCCCTAAAAACCCGAAGCCCTGAAACCAATTAGTTCGACAACCCGATAAACCCCAACTAGACCCCGACGAAACCCAAAAACCCTAAAACCTAAAGCCCAAACTCTAAACGCAGCAGGGCGGCTGTGAGCTTTGGCGCGGCTGGCGGCCTTAAGCTGGGCTCACCGAGGAGGGCGGTTTAAGCGGTTTGGGGTTTTGGGGGGGTAAGCCCTACTGTAAACCCTAAACCCTCCTAAACCCTAAACCCTAAACCCTAAACCCCAAACCCTAAACCCTAAACCTCCTTAAACCCTAAACCCCGATGTACTGGGGCTTCCGAAAAGTTAGGGTCCTGCAAGACATGTGGGCCGTAAACTGGGGCACCCACACGCTCCTGCACAAAGTCCCGGATCATGGCATCCGCTTTCTCCACGCTCTCTTTCGAGCCGGAGAGGAAGATTGCCCTGGCCAGAATCCAGGGTTCCAAGTACGGGCCCTTTCTTTTGGGTCCCTAGCTTTTTATAGCCCAGTGAGGGCCCATACTTCGGATACCTTTAAACAAGGGTAAGGGACCATACTAAGGGCCCATCGTTCCGACCTTAGACAGAAGGGGGGGTGGTTAGAGTTTAGGCCCTATACGCGTTGAGGGGAACAGCAGCAGCCATGGAAAGCGACACCAAAGGGCAGTGGAACGGCTTGGAGTTCGCCTTCCTGTCAACCTCACCATGCCCATCTTGGTGCGATACGAAATGCCCCTCTTAAGTTTGAAACAGGATAATACTGTAAACTTGGGTAGTTCCCCTGCCTACTAACAGTCCTAGCGATGAAACGAGGCGGTACTAAATAGGGACAACAAGGGGGAACATCCCAACTGAAAACCCTAAGCCCGAAGCCTAAACCTCGATCAAGCTTCGTATCGACGGAGGCCCGAAGTTCCGTTTTCTCTCCATAAGTTGGGATGTTCCCCCTTATACTAACAGTCCTCAACAGGGAGTCTATCGTACCCCCCTATTATTACAATCGTTACTAAGGAGCTGCTAGCATCAGGGGGAACATCCCATAAGCCTTAAGACTGACGGTGGGCGCCTCTCCGCCGTGGTTTCAAGCTGGTCTTTGGACACCTCAGGTGCAGCGAGGGCCCTCAGGGAAAAAGCAAGTAAAGCACTGCTGCGGCTTCGAGGAAGCTCAGGGTCTATAGGGTTCGGGTTTCGGGATTCGGGTTCTGCGTCTGTATGCAAAAAACAACCACAAAAAAGGTCGAGGCAGTCTATTCTACGCTCAAAATGTGATTCCTTACACACATCTCCAGGCAACGCAGACTCGCCCTTCTGTCTTCGGAGACAAGTTGGAAGGACAAGCTACCCTAAACCCTAAACCCTCCAGCCCTAAACCCCAAACCCTCAACCCTAAACCCAAACCCCAAACCCCAAACCCTAAACCCTAAACCCTAAACCCTGCCTCAATCCGCGCGCCGCTTTCGGTGCAGAACTTCTTGATTGTCTCACCTCCTCGGCCTGGGGAGGGGAAGCGGACGCAGGGCTGAGCAGTTGGACATCGAAGCACACCAAAAATTGGCGTTGAGACCCTAAACCATATACCCAAAGGACCCTGAATGCCCTAAATACACTAAATTACCTAAGTACCCTATTTCCCCCAAATACTACCCTTAATATCCTGAATGCCCTAAATTCCCTGAACTCCCTAAATTCTCTAAATACCCTAAACACCGTAAACCCTAAACTCCTAACCCTAAACCCATGAGCTACTTCTGCTTCCACCGGCAGAGTGACAGACGACCCCGCAGGCACACGACCTGCAGGACTCCTTCCTGGGTGCCGCGCCAATGATCGCTCCGATCATGGAGGAAGGTACCTTTCACAAGCGTTTTTTTGGTTCCTTGAGAGCAAGAAAAGCCCTCTCCCCCCCCCCCCCCCCCCCAATCATCTACAAAACAGAGGTACGAGTAGGGTGTGGGGGCATGATACGCTTTGAAGCCCAGGGCTTGGAGGGCACGCTGAGCATCTTGTTCGCCTCGTCCGCCCTTCCTTCGGAAGCCGGGCATCTAGAGCAGCTGCACAACCGAAAAGTTGCAGTCCATGGCCTATACAAGTAAGAGAGCACGCCGCACGCCCCTCCTCTGCCATCCTTGCCACGGCCCTTCCTGCAAGGGCTCTGCAAGAATCCAGATTCTGCGCACCCACCCACACACACACACACACACCCACGCACGCACGCACGCACGCACGCACGCACGCACGCACGCACGCACGCACGCACGCACGCACGCACGCACGCACGCACGCACGCACGCACGCACACCCACGCACGCACACCCACGCACGCACGCACGCACGCACGCACGCACGCACGCACGCACGAGCTCAGCTAGACTATGCTGCAATGCCTAAAGCCCTAACCCATACACTGCAATCCCTAAACCCTGACCTAATAAACTGTATCTCCTCGCCTGCTGCCGCTGAGGGCAGCATCCTGTGTTGCCAGGACGCCTTGGGGTTGATTTGGGGGGGGGGGGGACCGAAGATAGGGATCTGCCAGAAGAACCCGGAACTGCTTTGGAATTGTATGTAGGGTAATTTCCTAAGAATCTCATAAGACCTTCTAGTACAAGAGCCTGCCAGACATGTCGGTTGGTGGTTTCATGTGGTTTCCCTACCTGAGTGGACTGATTGGGAGACCACCGAAATCCTCCAAAACCAAACCTTAAAAGCCCCAGCAACCCTAAAATCCCCAAAGATCTCCAACAAAAAGCCGAAAACCCTAAGCCCCAAATAAATAACCCCTAAGCCCTAAGAACCCGAAGCCCTGAGTAAACCCCAATAAGCACTAAGCCCTGAATAAGCCTAAACCCTAAAACCCTAAAACCCCTAAAAGCCTCTAAAACACCTAAAAACCCTAAAAGCCCCTTAAAAACCCTAAAACCCCTAAAAAAACCCAAAAACCCTAGAAAAACCCTAAAAGCCCCGAAAAAACGCTAAAACCCCTAAAAGTTGAGCTCAGGGCGGTCCAGGATGTCGTCTGGGAAGCGAATGAACTTCACCTTTCGGCGCCCCCCCCCCCTCCTTCCCCCTGAGCACTTAGGCAGAGCATTCCTCAGCCTGCTCGTGGGCTTCAAGGTTTGAGTTTTTGTTTAGGGTTCAGGGCTTCCGGGCGTAGCTACCTTGGAGGTTCCAGGGTTTATGAGTTTCACGGTTCGAGATTCAAGGTTTTGAAAGCCCAGCTTGGGAACCTAAAACCCTAAACCCTGAACCCTAAACCCCAAACCCTAAACCCTAACGTGAGCAGCAGCACATCTGGCACCCTCAGCTCCCTGCAAACTGCCCACGGATGGTACACTCCTCCCATTTCAGTGCAAGGCTTCCCTGAGTTTCACGTGTCTTGAACTGTGTGCCTGTTACAAATGGGTTCTAGGGTTTATAGCCTTGGGTTTGGATGTTCCCCCGTATTCGAACAGTCCTGGGTAGGGATTAGAATAGGGGCTACGAGAATCCCGATTATGGACTGTTAGACTGTTGGTATAAGGGGGAACATCCCAAGGCTTAGGGCTTAGGGAGTATGCGACATGCACTCAGACTCCTTCATGCGCTCGAACTTGTGCTCGGCTTGCGGGGTCAAGATTGCATCCTGCACCACGGTGCTGGGATTGAGGGTTTCAGGCCTTGGGCTGAAGTCTAGGATTCAAGGCTAAAGTCATAGTGATGCCTATACATCACAAAGGGGCTTGTTCTGGCATGGCCTCCATGCGGATGTTCATGGAGTTGTCAACAGCAACCTTGATCAGAGCCAGGTTCTTGTAGATGCTTGGCTTACCCCAACCTAGTAGGGAATTTGTAAATCCCAAATTCCCTAGCAACAACGGGGACTTTCCCAACATGACGCCGGCTCACCAGAACTTTTCCGAAAGCCTAAGCCCTGAACCCCAGAAACCCTAAACCATAAACCCGAGTCTGAGATGGCGGCAAGAGTTCCACTGTACGAGTCGCCATTCTTCAACTCCACTAGGACAGGCCTGCCAAACAGGGCCCTGGACCCCAACTAAACTTTCATGGGTGTTCGTGGTTAACCCTAAGCCCTACACCCTGCACCCAGAGGTTGTTAGCTAAAACCTAAACCCTAAACGTTCTTTGCTAAGCCAAAAAAACCCTAAAGCCTAAGCAGAGGCTTGGGAACCATGAGCTCCTTGCAGAGATATTTGTAGGGGACCTGGAGCCTCATTCCCCTAATTCCATGAGAACTAGGAAGTCACAAGCTTCTAGGCTAAACATGCTTAAGGTCTTCTGCTGGAGTTGAGGATTGAGGGCCCAGGTTGAGGGTTTATGTTGTTTACGTTTCAAACCCGCCGGATCCAACAGGTGAGCTGCTGCGATTCAGCTTCTGACAAGTGCTCGGAATCAAGAGGTTAGCCGCTTGGCCTGCTAAGCCCTCTGAAAACTGCTCCTAGATAAGATCCTCCTAAACTCAAAAAAAAATCCAAGGGGCCCACCTAGGGCCTTATTTTGGGTGTGAGCTCGCTGGGGCACCCCACCCATGGCTTGCAGATCGCAGCACTGCTTGCGGCAGCACCATGGCATTCGCACGCAGGTGTGACAGGTTTCTCTGTAGCTCCAAGATAGTGGCCTCTATTTGGCAGTTCTGAGTCGTGTATGTTCTAGGTTTATAGGGGTTATCAAGGGATGATGTTGGTAATTGTTTGGGCTCCTGTCTTAAGAGGTGTGGCGCAGGACCTTGATCGCCCTACTCAAAATATCAAGCGTTCATCATGTAGGTATCCTGGTAGGGAACGCTGCGCATTGCATTGCGCTGTCTTGAAACGACCTGAAGCCGGGTGCCACAGGGGCCTTAATTCGCAGAGGGTCTTGGGGGCCATTATGGCATACTTATATAGGGACCATAAGGGATTCGTATTAGTACATATTCGACCGCTATATTCGTATATCAACATATATCGGGGTATCTGACTGGCTGGCGTCGTCTGTGAAACGACCGCAGCGCCACGGCCAAACGATGGACCACTACGTCCCCTGCGTGCAAATCCCTAACAGACTCAAGCCCTAACCTCTCCGAAATTCCAACAACCCCCAAAAGCCCTGATGCCCCCTGTCTTTTAAAGCGGCCAGACCGGCTCAGGAAGGGGGCCGAAAGGCTCAGCGGCCCGTCTCCTGGTGGCACACAGCTTCTTTGGGTTTCAGGGCTCAGGGGCTTTAGGGCTCAGGGGCTTGAGGGTTTAGGGCTTAAGGGGTTTCAGGGTTTTAGGGATTGTAGGGTTTCAGGGTTTTAGGGTCTGAGGGTTTTAGGGTTTAGAGTTTAGGGTTCTGAGGGTTTTGGTAGGAAGTGTTTTGGGAGGTTCTTCACGGGGCTTCAAGAAAAAGAGAAGGGAGTTGGCCCCAACACGCGATTGATGTTGATTGACGCTGAAGCCATGCTTCAATGCCAGGTTTCCTTCATCTGCATCCCTGTGCCATCAGACAAGGGCTCCCCTTGTACAATCCCAGTGGCGCGACATCTGCAAATTTTCCACCTGCCGACCTTGTGCGAAAACAACTATCTTTCCACCAAGTTAAGAAGCTTGCTGCGGTAAATGCACTGCAGCGCACATCTCGAGAGACAGGGTGCATCGGTGTATCTGCACAGAATCTGCATACTCTGAGAATCTGGCACTGGGGTGTAACGGTGTAACACAAGATCGAACAAGTGGAAACCTTGTAATATTGGACCTCCTTTGGTGGGGCACCCTGCTTAGAAGTCAAGTTTGCGGGGCTATTCGGGACGCTGTGACTGTTTGGGGGTGCGCGGTAGGATCTATATTAAGCCAAATCTGCCGGGTGTCTTAAAAAAAAAATTCGTGGGGGGCCTTTAGAATCGATTGCCAGGCTTCTCAGTTCCTTAAAAGAAAATACAAACTCCTCCCGATTTAAAATCACATAAAACCTGTGGACCGGGTCAAGAGGGCAAAAGCCAGTTTCGACTCACTCGAGCAGATGCAACATCAACCTCTGTAAGACTAAACTGGGGGCTGTGAAGAAACAAAAGCTGAACCCCAGAACCGCGCAATAGAAAACCCAGTCAGTGAGTAGCTGTGCAAACGCGTGCACAGCCATTCTCATGGATCTATACGATCAATTCCCGGAACCCTGAAGCCCCACAAACCCTCAAGCCCTAAAGCCCAAAACGCCCCTAAGCCCTGAACTTTCAAGCCCCAAAAAGCCAAAAAGCCCTCAGCAAAACCCTCAAATGCTAAAACCTAAACTCCCTAAACAGACCCTAATAACCCTCAGGCATAGGGTCTTAGGATTGTAGGGTTTTAGGGTTTTGGGGCTGTAAGGTCTTAAGCTTTAAAGCTTTGGGACCCTAAACCCTAAACCCTAAACCCTAAACCCTAAACCCTAAACCCTAAGTTACTAAACCCTAAGGGGCTTCAGGGCTCTGAAGTCTGCAACCTGGCCTGAGGTGGGTCACGTCCATCGGCTCAAAGCCGTGGCCATGCCTCGCCTCCCAGCGGTGGGCCCTCAGCATCGCGCGGACGGGGGTTTAGGGTTTAGGGTTTAGGGTTTAGGATTTAGGGTTTAGGGTTTAGAGTTTAGGGTTTAGGGTTTAGGGTTTTGGGTTTTGGGTTTAGGGTTTAGGGTTTTGGGTTTAGGGTTTAGGGTTCTGGCATTTGGGGTTCGGGGTGTAGCGTTTGGGGTTTAGGGTTTTGGGTTTGGGGTTTAGGGTTTTAGGGTTCAGGGCCTTGTTGATACAGCTTTCATTGTAGAACCACTTTTGACACGGGGCCTCCAAATCAACGGATTTATCTCCTAAAAACTCTAGGTATGCGCTCAAGGCAAAATCTGGGGCCAGCAGCCGCACAGTGAGGTTCCAGTCGTCGCCGTAGACCTGGGAGAGCTTTCTTTACCAGAGTCCTAGAATTGCGACAAAAATACTGTATACACATCTTCTGCACACGTACGTGCGTACCTAGCTACCTAGCTAGCTAGCTACCTACCTACATACATACATACATACAGATGCGCATGCTGATGTTTGCATTTTACAATGCACATGTCGAAACGAATATTTTATGTAATGATATACCATTGAAAACCGAGGTCCTTACAGGAACCCAAAGGAAGGGACTGAAATTACACTCCCAAACCTCACAAACCCATCACTCCACAACCAAACGAGCATCTCAGCCGTCGGCGCGGCTCAGGTGGTTCGCAGATCCAATCCTAGCGATGATGATGACCAAACTGCTGCAAGTGAGAGTCAGGCTACAATGCTATAAACCCTAAACTCTGAGCCCTAAAGCTAACTTAGACTATAATATACTGCTATAAAGCCTAAACCCTGAGCCCTAAACCCTAAACCCCAAACCCCAAACCCTAAACCCTAAACCCTAAACCCTAAACCCTAAACCCGGAGCCCTAAAGCTGACTGTGTTTACGGGATTTAGAGCATCATGCGCATCGCAGTGCAGATCACGCTCTCCGAGCTTCCGGCGGTACCTTCGCTCGACCTGCAGTTCTCTTGCACTGGCACACCCACATTGAGAGTTTAGGGTTTAGGGTTTAGGGCTTAGGGTTTAGGGTTTAGGGTTTAGGGTTTAGGGTTTAGGGTTTAGGGTTTAGGGTTTAGGGTTTAGGGTTTAGGGTTTAGGGTTTAGGGTTTAGGGTTTAGGGTTTAGGGTTTAGGGTTTATGGTTTAGGTTTAGGGTTTAGGGTTTAGGGTTTAGGGTTTAGGGTTTAGGGTTTAGGGTTTAGGGTTTAGGGTTTAGGGTTTAGGGTTTAGGGTTTAGGGTTTAGGGTTTAGGGGTTAGGGTTTAGGTTTGAGGGTTTAGGGTTTAGGGTTTAGGGTTTAGGGTTTAGGGTTTAGGGTTTAGGGTTTAGGGTTTAGGGTTTAGGGTTTAGGGTTTAGGGTTTAGGGTTTAGGGTTTAGGGTTTAGGGTTTAGGGTTTAGGGTTTAGGGCTTAGCGGCCCTCAAGCCGAAACCCTCAGCTCAGCATGGGACTTTGGCCAAAAGGTACTTCATAGAACGCTGCCAGCTCGGTATTGAGCCAGTACCGCCCTGCCGCCAAGGCGAACATCTCTGAGTCTCTGCGTGCTTCTTGGGGGGGGTTTCCGAGATTGGGGGGGTACCTTCTTGGGGTCCTTATAAGGGGATCCTAGTATTTGGGGGTCTATAATAGGGGTCCCTCAATTATTATCGTACACCCCGAAATAACTTCAAACAGGGCACTGCAACTGCGCGGATTGCAGTGGAACAAATCGTTGGAGATGTAGTATCGCTCACCTCCGGCGTCCTGTCGACAGGTCAGAAACCAAGAGCGGAGCCACATCGCTGCCTGCTGGGCTCGCGGCACTCGGTGTCTGCATCACATAGATGTCGAGTGCAGGTGTGCCAACCTGACTGCGCGAGTTATCCCCCAAAAGGGCGTGCGATCGGTGTTCCTTAAGCCCCCAAGCCCTACACCCTGAAACTCTACAAATACTAAACCCTAAGCCCCAAACCCCAAAACAGAGGCACCCGCGCGCTGCTGCGGCAGCCACCAGCTTTGGTCCATGAGCTGCACTTCGTCATTCTCCGAGGCCTCGCCCGCAAGAGCACAGGGGAGTTCGGGGTTCGGGAGATCCCAGGAGACTCCCAAAAACAGCAGATTTAAGGAGTCTTCCTGCCAAAAAATTGATGCTACTGTTGTTGTTTTGTAGGGATCAAACTATAGTTTAAGGAAATCTCCCTTTAACTTGATCATCCGGATTTCTGATGTGACAGATGAATATGGCGGCTTTTTTAGGGGTATTGGAGTCTATGGCAGAGGGGAGGGCGCTCCTTCGTGGATCCAGTTGGCCAGACTTTGAAGCATCTGCCTCGTGGATCGTAGCCTTCAGCAAGAGACATAGGGCTGCAGGGCTTGGGGCTCCCTGGAGCATTTAGGGTTTGCAGGGCTTGAAGGGATCTTTAAAGGCAGTTTTGGGGTTTAAACGTCGACGGGGCTGAAAGGGTGTGGGGTTTCCATTCTGTTGGATCGTTAGAATACAACATCGAAGACGCAGGCACCTTCTCAAGGCGCAAGCCTACGGCCGTCCCTTTCATGCCCAAGCCCGAAAGCCCCAGAACGTAGGTGCCCCGGCTCAATTCAAGGCCGTTCCGGCCGAGCGCCGCCCGCATCTGGCTGCCCTGAACCAGGCCCAGATTTGTGAGTCTTCCCAGTGGTCTCAGGGCTTTTCAGGCTTTGGGGCTCTTGGGGTTTAGTAGAGGGGTCCAGGCTTTAGAGGCAACGAGTGAGGTTTATTGCACTACCCGTGTGTGGGTTGGAACTATCGGGGGACTTCGGTCCTCTGGCCGGCCTGAATTGTCTCCACGTCCCTCTCTGGCACGTCCACCTGAAACAAAAGAGACAGACCCACAAAGTCCTATGAAAGTTCTTATCCCCCAAGCCCTAAGCCCTAAACCCTAAAACCCTAAACCCTAAACCCCAATCCCTAAACCCTAAACCCTGGTTCTTCAAGCCCCAGAGCAAGAGTGCACAAACCCCAACCCTATACACCCTAAACACGAAATACTAAACCAAACTTTCCGAACCGCCAAGCCCCACCCCCTCCTAAGCCCTAAACCCTAAACCTAAAAACCAAACCCTCCTAACCCCTAAACCCTAGACCCTAAACCCTAAAGCCCCCAGACCTCCAAATCGTCGGCATGTCGGCTGAGGCCGCCATCTCGCAGGGCCCCAATCAGTGTCCCGTGGCCTCAAAGTTGGGCGGGCTTTTTGGGCCCCTTTTTTTGGGTTGGTGTTTCAGAGAATCATGGGCCTTTGGCAGAAAATTGCTCTTTTTGGGCTATCGTGGTTTTGAAGAGGTTTGCTCTTTGATTTGTTCCTGGGCTTGGAAACACAGACAGAACTTGGAGGTCCATGGCACCTCTTAACCAAGTATAACTGTACTTGTAGCCCACTCACAAGCCCCTTAAGTGCCCGAATATGGTTATATAGGTACAGTTATAGGTACAGTTAGAATTGGCTAGCAAGTACCATGAACCTCCAAGAGGGCTCCAGGCCCCATGCTGACCCACCACTGCACATCCATCTCGTCGAAGAGTCGAGTCATGACCTCAGGCGCGAACGGAAGAACTATACTTGGGCGCCTTCCAAAGCGTGGGGGAGAGGGGGGGGGTGCGCTGTCCTGTTGCTTTTAGGATTTTTGGACGGTAAGGATAGAGGATTTCGGTGAGCCGGCTCAACCCTCAGCTCCAAACCCCTTAGAGGGGCTGGGCTGAACCCTAAACCCCAAAGGATCCAAATCCTTAGGCTTTCCCTCGGCTGCTTCTGAAGTCCACCTCGGCACTCAGCGCCCTGCATGGTAGATCCGGTAGAACTCCAGCGCTTTGGCGGGGGGCAGCCTGGAAACCCGAGCCAAGACATTCAGGCTTTCCCCGTTCTACCCAGAGACCCCAAAACCCCTTAATTAAGAAAGATCTTCCCGGCCGGTCATATGTTTTGTTAGAGTACTGGTATTGGCAGGACCATAGAGTAGAGAAGAGGACCTCAAACCCCAAAACCCAACACCTTAAACTACCCAAAGACTCCAAGCCGAAGGCTCTTTTATAACAATTCCTTCAAGTTTCAGTTTCGAGCTTTTAGGGCAGTTACAGGAACGGGCCGGCCTTTGGTCCCCCGCTGCTTCGCTCCCGGTCTCACTCAGACTCTCATTCTCATCCTCCACACCTCGGTGTGGGTTTCTGGGGGCGGGCTTAGGGTTTGGGGTCGAAGGGCTGCCGCCACGCCTCCCCCACCCCGCCCTCCCCGCCCACGGCAAACCAACGCCCGAACCTACAGTATACATATGATGCCCCCAAACAAGACTTCCAAGAAGAGACATAGACGACATGACAAGGATCACTGATTGGTTTCCAAAGATTAATAATGCATACTCCCAGAAATTTTATGGACATGATCCAGATGCAGGAATTGTTGAGGTGTAAACTTTTGGATGTCCAAAAAACAAAATAAATGCTGATGGAATATAGGATCTCCTCCAAATATGCGGCCAAAGAAAAGTGCATTAGAATGAAGATCACCCTATACTAAAAGAAGTGCACCAGTCTTATGCGAATGACGCAAAGAACCAAATAAGGGCTTTGCAAGTGAATGATAATGAGTGCGAGGAAGGCCCTGAGATGTACTGCAGTTTATGGGGTCTTCTGCCGCCTTCATTCATACAATATTGTTTACACCAAAAACTCATTGGTAGATCTTTTTGGGTTTTTTTGGGGGCTATCATCTTCTTTCAACAAATCTCAACCCCCCAAGCAATAAAGTCCCCGGGGCCCGAAGATCCTACAGCCCCCAAAGACAATACAGGATCCCATGATTCCTAAACCTTCTAAACCCTATGCAACCCATAAAACCCCCACAAACCCTAAAAACCCTACAAACCCTACCCTAAACCCTACTATCAACCCTAAACCCTGTAGTTTCGAATAAGTTCCTCGGATCCCGAGGACGGCCTGGGAACCCAGACTCAGTTCCTCCTCCAGAGCCTCCACCACAGGTTCCGCCGACAAAGGGTCGTCGTTCTGGCCGGTGTGGGTTTGGCGGGGTTTAGCGGGGTTTGGCGGGGTTTGGCGGGGTTTGGCGGGGTTTGGCGGGGTCTGGGGAGGGTTTTTTTTTTTCTTCTGGGGGGGTGGGGTTTGGGGGGTTTGGGGGGTTTGGGAGGTTTTGGGGAGGTTTTTGGGGGGGGGGGGGGTTTGGGGGATGAGAAAGGGGGGGGGGGGTATTGGTCGCCTGCTTTGTCGCGAATGCCGTCAGCTCAAGCCCGCACATCATGGATGTCAAGGGCCAGCTGCTTTGCTTCCGATGCTAGATGTCTTTCTCACAGTTCTTGTTCCGCTACCTCTGCGGCAAACCCTAAAACCTTACACCCCACCTAAACCCTCAACCCCAAAATAACCCTCCAAAGATCCGCCTCCAGGCGAGGCTTTAGTGACAGGCGGTGTAGCAGAGCAAAGACCTTTCGGCATGGCCAGGGGGAATCTAGACACGAAAGCTTCGAAGTTCAGGGCTTAGGGCATGTCGGAGTTCGCGAAACAAAGCTCTTACCCGTTGGTGGGAACGCAACAAGAAGTGTCGCTCTGAGATAGAGCTTTTCGGTTGAGTTCCGGGGGCTTATGGCAACTACCTTGCCATTCGGCATGCATGAACCGACGCACTTCACAGCTGGCCCAACATCATGAGGCACCTCTCCGTGAACATTTACAATTCAGCAAAGCCGGGTCCAGAAGTTAGGCTTCCGAGTCCTGCCGTGAGACTTCCCGACTTCCTGAACCCTCAACCCTAAACCCTAAACCCTAAACCCCAAACCCTAAACCCTAAAGCCTAAAGCCTAGAGCCTAAACCCTAAACCCTAAACCCTTGTCCAGTTCGATGTCACCCACTCCTCCTCCCAAAACCACATCCCTAAAGACGGCTCTGTTGGGGGCGCGCACGGGCCATCTGGCGGCTGCGTGGAGCACCCGCCCCAGCGATTCCTTGCGCTCTCCCGCAAAGCATGGGGGGCTTTCTTTGCTTTTTGATGTTGGTGTTTTGGGAGCATGTCGGGTAGTTGACACCATACTTCTGCTGCGAATTTCAGGGAATACTGGGGTTTAGGGTATAGGGTTTAGGATATGGATTACCTGTGCAGCCGTGCAAGCAGCCATCCTCGTAGAAAGTACGGAAGTGCCGCTCCGCCACCTGGCAGGATTATCATACTTTGGGGCACACTAAGGGGGTACCCTATTTTTCCGAAGCCCCAACATGTGCGAGATGTTGGACATGGCGGGATAGAAGCTCCAGAAACGTGGCGGTAATCAGGGTGCGTGTGCGTCTGTGCGTGTCTGCCTGTTTCTGCGTGTGTCTGCGTGTGTCTGTGCATGTCTGTGCGCGTCTGTGCCTGTCAGTTGCCTGTCTATGCGTGTCAGTGCGCGTCTGTGCGTGACTGTGCGCGTCTCTGCGCGCCTGTGGTCGTCCGTGCGCGTCATCTGTGCTGTGCGCGTCTCTGCACGTCTGTGCACGCCTGAGCGCGTCTGTGTCGCGTCTGAGCGCGTGCGCGTGCACGCGCACTTCTGCGTTCGTGCGTGCCTGCGTGCGCGAACCCGGTACCAAGAACATTCTGCGACGTTCTAGGATGAAAAGGGTACCCTTTTTGGGGCTTAGAGGTGTTCATAAAGGGAATGAGGCCCTTCTCTGGCCCTAGCTGTTCATCTCTTACCTACATCCCGAAATCCCTACCTCCCGAGCACCCCGAACCCCAAAGTGAAAGGGGTGCCTCGATGGCCGACTTGCTCCGAGCAGCCGCCAGCCAAGCGCAGGCTTTCCGAAAGGTCTCCTCGCATGGGCGTAGGGCATATCGGAACGGAGGGGGGGTTCTGTTTTTTTGGGGCATTCTGACTGGCTGTGAAGAACCTGCAAAATTGGTGGAAAGACCAGATCTTTGTGCTTCTGACATCTAGGCACTGCTAGGTTGACAAACCAAAGGTGTCCTTTCCCCACCCCGCTTCCTCTCGGGAGAGTGCGTAGCTCAGAAAAGGCTCCCCTCTCACCTCGGCACAGAGGTTGGTAGAGGCTACCTTAAAAACAGGGCACTGTGACGGGAAACCGCGACTGCGGAAAACCACGGGACGGTATGACCGGGTATGACCGGGTATGACCGGGTATGCCCGGGTATGCCCGGGTATGACCGGGTATGCCCGGGTATGACCGGGTATGCCCGGGTATGACCGGGTATGACCGGGTATGACTCGGGCGTACTCGGGCGTACTCGGGCGTACTCGGGCGTACTCGGGCGTACTCGGGCGTACTCGGGCGTACTCGGGCGTACTCGGGCGTACTCGGGCGTACTCGGGCGGACTCGGGCGGACTCGGGCGTACTCGGGCGTACTCGGGCGTACTCGGGCGTACTCGGGCGTACTCGGGCGTACGGGCGTACTCGGCCTGCAGTCGCAGAACGCGGCCGCAATGAAAACACTGTGACGGGAAACCGCGACTGCGGAAAACCACGGGACGGTATGACCGGGTATGACCGGGTATGACCGGGTATGCCCGGGTATGCCCGGGTATGACCGGGTATGACCGGGTATGCCCGGGTATGACCGGGTATGCCCGGGTATGACCGGGTATGCCCGGGTATGACCGGGTATGACCGGGTATGACTCGGGCGTACTCGGGCGTACACGGGCGTACTCGGGCGTACTCGGGCGTACTCGGGCGTACTCGGGCGTACTCGGGCGTACTCGGGCGTACTCGGGCGGACTCGGGCGGACTCGGGCGTACTCGGGCGTACTCGGGCGTACTCGGGCGTACTCGGGCGTACTCGGGCGTACTCGGGCGTACTCGGGCGTACTCGGGCGTACTCGGGCGTACTCGGGCGTACTCGGGCGTACTCGGGCGTACGGGCGTACTCGGCCTGCAGTCGCGGAACGCGGCCGCAATGAAAAACCCTGAAACCTAAACCCCAAACCCCAAACTGTAAACCCTAAACCCTAAACCCTGAACCCTAAACCCTAAACCCTAAACCCTACACCCTACACCCTACACCCTACACCCTACACCCTATGCCTTTCATGGGCCGATATCGAGATTAGGAGGTTTCCTGGGCCGGAAGGGTCCGTCAGAACGGCTGTTAAGGGGTATAAGGAGGACCCCTAGAAGGGACCCTTAATCTGATATAACTTATATAGCCCTTATCTATAAAAAACAAATTATATACATGCAATATGTATATATATATATGTACATATAAGCAGCGCCTACATTACTTTTCAGGGTCCCTCCTTGAGTCCCTTGAGGCTGAACGTCTGGGTGGCTCAGGGGCCAACACGCGCGTGAGCACCCAAAACCTCGGCACAGCCCGATTGAAGCGTGCAGAAACTCTTCGGGGTAGTTCCATGGTCCCTTAGTATGGGCACCCTTATATAACCCATTTATATATCCTGCACAACCCAAGGGCCCATACTTCAGAACCCTTTGAAGGAGGCATAGCAGAAGCTCTAAGGGTAGATAGATGGTTTTACAAAGGGGGCCCCCGTATATACCCCCCCTTTACGTCCTCTACAACCCAAGGGCCCACACTTCAGAACCCTTTAAAAGTAGGCATGGGACCATGTTAAGGGCCCCTGAAACTGCCCCCTGAACCCGAAACCCTAAAACCTAAACCCGAAACCCTAAACCCTAAACCCTAAATCCTAAACCCTAAACCCTGCACCCTAACCCTAAACCCTAAAGGCCCGTATAACCTCCCCTTAAAGAAGCTCCATGCCCAGCATCGCTTGCAAAGAGCCCATCCCAAGGCCCGGGCCCTCTGAGAGGTTGGCCAAGGGATGGAAGGTTCCAGAAGCTCCTCCTGCAGGGTTTAGGGTTTAGGGTTTAGGGTTTAGGGTTTAGGGTTTAGGGTTTAGGGTTTAGGGTTTAGGGTTTAGGGTTTAGGGTTTAGGGTTTAGGGTTTAGGGTTTAGGGTTTAGGGTTTAGGGTTTAGGGTTTAGGGCTGATAGGTTTTTTGGGTTTAGGGTTTTGGATTTTGGGCTTTGAGTTTAACGTTTAGGGCTTGGAGCCCTTGAGGCAATTCCGTGCCCACGACCGGCTTAGGCTTCAGCATCAAAGATCGTAAAGACTAACTACTGTAGGAGCCTTAATGATTAGAACAGGGTTTTGGGGGGTTATTATCGTATATTTCTATAGGGACCCCAAGGGACCCCAAGGGAATACTGCTAGTAATTCTTCCGACCCCTATATTGCATCTTGCATCTACAGCTCGGTCCCGATAGGGCTCGGAGTGCGGGGGCAGCCTGAGTGGGCCCACATGCTCGCCTAGCAGTCTCGCCATCCAGCAAAATAGTATCAAGCTTCCCCCCTAAACCCTAAACCCTAAACCCTAAACCCTAAACCCTAAACCCTAAACCCTAAACCCTAAACCCTAAACCCTAAACCCTAAACCCTAAACCCTAAACCCTAAACCCTAAACCTGCTGCTGATGCGACTTCGTCTGAGAAGCGGACCCCGCATGGAGTGCCTTTTCCTCAGTTGGAGCAGCTCAGTTGGAGCCGCTCACTTGTCGCAGTGGATAAAGAATCCGTTTTGGCTGTGGGTTGAACTTGCTTTAGCCCGGAGCATTGCACCCCACACGGGAGCCTAGAACCCCACGCCTCGGAGCTTGCCACCTCGCCCCTGAGGGCACGGCAACGGCCGCCAGGCTGCCAAAGAAAGGGACGGCCCAGGTGCTGGTCTCAGGGTGCAGGGTTGTGAGCCGGCTGGGCTCAGAGTTTGTCAGGGGATTTTCGATGGCGCCAGGCCAAATTCGCAGTTGGGGTCACCTAGATCTTAGTCGCCAGGTGGCCCCTGGACCCTGAACGCCCGATTAAGCCCCAAGCCTGGGCAATCGAAGGGATCAGATACCAAAATAATCCTAAACCCTAAAGCCTAGACCCTAGAAACTTCTGAGACTCAGCCCTCTAAGCCTGTGAGCTGCGGTGCCTTCAAACCCCCATTCACAGGCAGCCGAGATCTACACAACCAGAATCCTCAGAAAACTCCATGAAAGACCCAAAAATCTCGAAACAACCCTGGAGCCCGAAACGCTACAAGACCCTTGAAATTCAGCCCCAAACAGCCCGAACCCAAGAGCCGGGATGCTGGCATTTGCCAGCATACTCCACCAGGAAACGCGCAGCCTCAGAGGGATGGCGAAGGCCCTGAGTCGCCTAGGGGGGGGGGGGGGGGGCACAGCCGTTTAGAGCCCTTTTGTGCCAAGCCAAAAAAAAACACAAAAGCCCCAAAACCCCAACGTTCCGGAGCTTGTTCCCGGAAAGTTGGGATGTTTCTGCTTTGGGGATTTTGGGATCTTGGACCATTGTTTTTTTTGGACTGGTGGCTTGCCCCGGCGGCCTAATGCATTCATTTTTTCCGGAGAATAATTAGTTGGGAGCCTTTGTCCCTAGTGCAATGTATGTTTGATAGAAGAGAAAGCATTTCTTTTGTGAAGGGGCCCCTCCCCCCTCCCTCCTCCTTCCCTCCCCCCATCCCTCCTTTCCTCCCCCTCCTCCTCCCTCCCTCCCTACACCTTTCCTCCCTCCCCACACCTTTCCTCCCTCCCTCCACCTTTCCTCCCTCCCTCCACCTGTCCTCTTTAGCTCCTCTAAGTTCCAGAAATCCACATTCCAAAGCAAGTCAAGAACTCAAAGTTTTCGGCCAAAACCCATAAAGATTTGGATCTTTGGATTTCAGACATTCTTAACTGTGCAGCGAATCAGGAAATGAGAATGTGTACTGCTGACTTCTTCCGCAGATCCAAGACCCAGACTCGGCTTCGGCAAGCTTCTTGCATTTTGCGGAAGCATCATGTAGGCCGTGCGGGGCCAAACTGCAAGCATCCGCAGAGAGGGCAGTCCTCAGACGAGCTTGACCTTATGGCCACGGACCGCCCCATCGAAACAACGGCTGTCACTGCGCGGTGCGCATGAAGGGCTCCGATGACCACCCTGGTCAGAAAGTACTGGTGTTCGAGATTTCAGAGCAACGTTGGGAGGGTCAGCCCGTGCTCCTGGGATTTCAGTGCATGCGACTCCCACCATAGATCGCCACCCTCTGGCGCAATGGCCTCGGTGGCGAACCAGTGGGCCTCCCACCACACGTCTCCGCCCTCAGACCCGTGCGAGGCACTGCATTAGGGCTGTAGGGCGTAAAGTCAGGGTTTAACGTTTAAGGTTGCGCGGTAAGGTGTAGGGTCTGAGGGTTGCGGGTTCAGGGGCTTCACCCCTCCCCCATGGAGCGGGGGATAGTACATTTAGGGAGGGACTGGAATGGAAACAAAAACTCCATAGACTAGGCCACAAAAAACATCCCAAAGAAGCCCTAAACTGTAACACCCCTGAAGCCAAGATCCTTGAAACCCAAGGGCCCCGGACGTGGAAAGGATCCGTCGGCGCCGCAACAGAGGATGGCCGCGCTCCTTCGTTTTTTTTGGGGGGGCTGATTTAAGGGTTTAGGGTTTGGGGATTAGGGTTAGGGTTCTTTCGTTTCTATGCTTGCCACGCACTCCCAATCACCAAAGGTGGGGTCTTTGGCAGTAGCCCTCTGGGCTCCAAGGGGGGTAGAGGGGTCGATGTGATGCTGCATATAGCGAAGAGCTTCCCCTCAGCGGTGAAAGGTGCTTGTCTGGGAGCGCTGTGGCTTGCATTAGGAGCTTTGGTGTGTTGAGTCAAGGGCGTATGGGGCTGCAACTGCTGGCAGTCTCGCATTTAAATTGGGCACCTGAACCTAAACCCTAAACCCTAAACCCATCTAAACCCGAACCCAACCCCTAATTTGGGAGGAGGCCGTCATCGGGATCGCTGGGCCGTGAACAAACCGGAGTGTAGACAGGCAAAGTACCTCGGATTTGGGGGTCAAGCTTTGGGGCTTGGGGGTGGGCAGTTCGAGGTTTAGGGAGGGGTTCAAGGGTTCTTTGTGTAGTTAGTGCTGTCCCAGGCCATCACACTGAATGAAATCACTTGGGGATAGATTTGAGTATTTTGGCACCCCTGACTAACAGAGCCACACAAGAGGGACCGCAAGCCAGACGGAACCCCCATGAAGTGTCCGGCACCAGAAGCCATGTCCTTCGCCAATGTGTCGAGGATCTCCTGTGTTCGGGTTTAGGGCGTGGGCTTCAGGGTTTGAATTTGGGGTTTAAGGTTTGGGTTTGAGGCTTTAGGAGCAAGCTGGAGAAGCTTCCATTGTCAAGCTGTCCATTGTGCCTACTAGCCTCTCCTTGCCGGAATGGCACCGAATGAGGGCAGGGCATCCACAACATGCCGCCCTCGCATGCTAAAGCTTTCCCTGGAAAACCCTACACCCTAAACCCTAAACCCTAAAACTAGTTGATCTTCATCGCAAGAGTTTTCTGAAAAGGCTCCCTTACATGCCGAACATGTCCCGCATGTTTGCCAGCCTGAGTGGGAACGTACCTGTATCACCCTTAGAACCAGAACAACAATAGTATTCTTGATATTTTCGACGTGTTTTATACAAATAAACATTCGACATAATTCCTAAGGGCTTTAGGGTTTAGGGTTGAGGGTTTGGGGTTTAGGGTTTAGGGTTTGGGGTTTAGGGTTTAGGGTTTAGGGTTTACAGGTACTGTCGGATGTTGTTGCTCGACCTTTGCTCGACCTTTTTTCACTGGCAAGGCTGAGCGCTTCACATGTTTGACTCCTCTGTCCCTGATATGCTTGATTTGAGGCGACTCAAATGGGTTTGGGTTTTGGGTTCAGAGTTTAGGGTTTAGGGAAGACTCGTCTCCTCAATGATATCATTCTGCAGCATGGCCATTCAGCCTTGCTTCAGAGCAATGGCTCTTTCTGGCAGCGCTCTTGACAGATGCCGAGGCCGAACGACAACCTAAAACATCCTACGCCCTCAGCCCTAAACCCCAAAGACTCTGTCGGGCATGAGGGCTCGCTGCGCAAGCAGACAGAAGGACCCTGGACAGAGCAAGCCCATGCTCTGCTTGTTCCCAGTGTAGCCTCATCCCCGTAAGAGGAATTCTCATGCCAACCTCTCTCCTTCCAATCAAGCCTCAACTGCCCATACCGAAAACCAGAAACCCAAAACCCAAACACCTCAAAAGCCCGCAAAACCTAACGGCTGAACCCAAAAGACTCCAAGCCAGAAGCCCAAACCCCAGACCTAAGAGCCTGTACCCGAAACCGAGCTGCAGCTAGGTTACCATATCCCCACAAGCAAAAAGGGGTGCTTTTCTTTGTATCATGGGGTTGGTAAGGGATCCCCACCCCCTAAAAAACATGTGAGTAAGGGTACTACTGGGCCTAAACCCTAAACCCTAGCCCTAAACCCTAAACCCCAAACTCCGGACCCCAAACCCTAAACCCTGAACCCTAACATCGTAGACAGGGAGTCCTCGGGCTGCATAAGCACGAGTGGAAGGAGATCACCAAGCACGAAGATGTACTTCAGGGTGTACTCCTCCGCCAGGCACGGGGTGCTTCGTAGAATCGGGAACCCTGTAAGCCCCGTAAACCCTATGAATCCTATATAAAATCTTCTTAAATAAACCCTACAGAACCCAAAACACGCCAGAAGGTCCGAGAAAGATGCCAGGGAATTTAATGAAGTTTTGGCCTTGGGGGTTCAGAAGCCCGAAACCCTCCCACTTCTGCAAACCCAGAGGTCCGATGGCATCCATCCGGAGAGCGGATCGGGGTTGAGGGTTTAGGGTTTAGGTCTAGGGTCCAGGGTCCAGGGTCTAGGGTTAGGGTTTAGGGTTCAGGGTTTAGGGTTTAGGGTTTAGGTTTGGGGTAAAAGGGGTCCTGGACTGCCCATTGATCGCCTTCTGAGAGCTCGTAGACCAGCTCGCCTTCGCAGAAACTCGCAGGCTCAAAAACGGAGCTCCAAGACTCCAAGGGTTCAGGGCTTAGGGGGTGTGTTTTAGGGTTTAGGGTTTAGGGTTTAGGGTTTAGGGTTTAGGGTTTAGGGTTAAGGGTTAAGGGTTAAGGGTTAAGGGTTAAGGGTTGAGGGTTGAGGGTTGAGGGTTGAGGGTTGAGGGTTGAGGGTTGAGGGTTGAGGGTTTAGGGTTTAGGGTTTAGGGTTTAGGGTTTAGGGTTTAGGGTTTAGGGTTTAGGGTTTAGGGTTTAGGGTTTAGGGTTTAGGGCTTCGAGTTTACGGCTTAGGGTTTAGGGTTTAGTATAGGGGGCGATGGAGGCAATGCTAATCTCCACGGCTCCACAGCACCCAGCACCTCACAGATTCTAGGCATCTCCATCCACTACGTGTGCGTGAACTGGTTACCAATGGTACGACTATTACTTTTTGCGATGCTGTTGTTTATTCTATGGATTGTGGATGGTGTTCCGGCCAATAGTAGCCGGTCATGTTGAAGCACTACTAGATATCGTGTATTCTCGTGGTCGCTGTAGTTGTGCTATTCGGATATATGTTGTTGCTGGTATGTGCTGGCATCGCTTCGCTTCAGTCATCAAAACATATGGGAATGTCCAAAAAGAGGGATACCTTTTTACAGACCACATGGACTAGAATTCCTTCAAGGGACCCCCCCCAAGAAGGGTACCCCTAGTTTCGGAAAACCCCCGTACGGGAATCGCAAGCTCGACTTTTGATCTCAGAGGCTAAGACCTGCAGCACTGTAGATCTGCTTGACGTATCCTTGCCCAGCGGGGCATCGGCGGCGGTGACTTGGGGCTCAGGGTTTCGGGTTTAGGGTTGAGGGTTCAGGGTTTAGGGTTTTAGGGTTTAGGGTGTTAGGGCTTAGGGTGTAGGGCTTAGGGATTAGGGTTTAGGATTTAGGGTTTAGGGGTTCAGTGTTTAGGCTTCAGTGTTTAGGGCTCAGGGTTGAGGATTTCGAGGTCTAGAGGCCAAGTTGAAGCTGAAAAAGGTTGCTTTGAGTGGTTGCACCCCCCAGGGGCCTCTAGGAATTATTACGAAGCAGCGGCCGCAACATGATGGTAGGACCCCGTTTACATGCTTAGAAATGGTCCATGGGGCGATAAGGGGATGATCTTGGAAAGCAAGAAGGCTCCCGACCGTGTTCTTCCCCGACGGGTTGGACCCCGAACCGTCCACAGTCCCAGCAAAAGCATCGGTCTGGGGATACTTGCCGGATTGGAGGTTTGGGGTTTGGGGTTTAGGGTTTAGGGTTTGGGGTTTAGGGTTTAGGGTTTAGGATCCCACCGTCCCTTACAGCGTTGCGCAAGGGGCATGAGGAACCGCATTTGTGATTCCCGACTGGGAAGAAGCAGCAAGTTCAAGCGCCCTCGCCTGCTTCCATGATGCGGGTCGTGTACGTGCCCACCTGCCACAAAGGGCCACAGAGTCGTGTGCTATCAGGTGGCTGAGAACAGACAGCTTCGCTTGGCTTACCGGTTCTTAGTAGGGAATGAGTACCCTATGTACTCCCTAAAGGGGCAAGTGCCCAGTTCCTCATTCCTACTAAGAACTGGTAGGTTGTTAGGATGATGATTTGGGTGATTTGGGTGTGTGTTGGGCTACATACAAGAGGATTTTGCCAGGTTCTTTCGACTCTAACACGGCGGAGGGTTTTTTTTTTTGCAAAGGTGTGGCTCGGCCCTGTCCTCTTGCAAAGGTGTGGCTCGGTAACCCCCTTCCCCTCCACGTCCCACCCACCCCCCCCCCCACACCCCCCCCCCCCACCCCCCCCACGCCCCCCCCCCCCCCCCCCCCCCCCCCCCCCCCCCCACCCCCCTCCCCACTCCCCCCCACCCCCCACTCTCACCACCCCGACTCCCTCCCCCTTATTTGCAAACTCAATGCTTGCCTCTAGGTTTCAAAAAAACTCATATGCTTTGAAACAAGCTTGCACGGCTTTCAGAAGCGGGGGGTTGGGGGGGGCGCAGCCCCCCCCCATTTGAAAACTCAATGCTTGCATCATGGGTTTCAAAAAGACTCTTATGCTTTGATGCAAGCTTGCACGGCTTAAAAAAGCGGGGGGGTTGGGGGGGGCGCAGCCCCCCCCATTTGCAAACTCAATGCTTGCATCATGGGTTCCAACACCGGGGGGGCCATTTGCAAACTTAATGCTTGCATCATGGGTTTCAACAAGACTCATATGCTTTGACGCAAGCTTGCACGGCTCAAAAAAAGCGGGGGGGTTGGGGGGGGCGCAGCCCCCCCCATTTGCAAACTCAATGCTTGCATCATGGGTTTCAACAAGACTCATATGCTTTGACGCAAGCTTGCACGGCTCAAAAAAAGCGGGGGGGTTGGGGGGTGCGCAGCCCCCCCCATTTGCAAACTCAATGCTTGCATCATGGGTTTCAACAAGACTCATATGCTTTGACGCAAGCTTGCACGGCTCAAAAAAAGCGGGGGGGTTGGGGGGGGCGCAGCCCCCCCCATTTGCAAACTCAATGCTTGCATCATGGGTTTCAACAAGACTCATATGCTTTGACGCAAGCTTGCACGGCTCAAAAAAAGCGGGGGGGTTGGGGGGGGCGCAGCCCCCCCCATTTGCAAACTCAATGCTTGCATCATGGGTTTCAACAAGACTCATATGCTTTGACGCAAGCTTGCACGGCTCAAAAAAAGCGGGGGGGTTGGGGGGGGCGCAGCCCCCCCCATTTGCAAACTCAATGCTTGCATCATGGGTTTCAACAAGAATCATATGCTTTGACGCAAGCTTGCACGGCTCAAAAAAAGCGGGGGGGTTGGGGGGGGCGCAGCCCCCCCCATTTGCAAACTCAATGCTTGCATCATGGGTTTCAACAAGACTCATATGCTTTGACGCAAGCTTGCACGGCTTAAAAAAGCGGGGGGGTTGGGGGGGCGCAGCCATTTGCAAACTCAATGCTTGCGCATACTACATATATACACTCCACGTATTTCTACCAGCTACAGCTACATCGCGGTAAAAAGAATCTTTGCGACTGGGGAGAACAGGGAAATCAAAACGAAGTCGGCACCCAAGCCAGGCCAAGCCGAGCCAAGCCACGCCGAGCCAAGCCAAGCCAAGCCAGCCAGGCCAAGCCAAGCCGAGCCGAGCCCACCCGAGCCAAGCCAAGCCAAGGAGCCAAGCCAACGAAAGCCAAGCCGAGCCAGGCCAAGCCAGAGGACAAGCCGAGCCAAGCCAAGCCAAGCCCAGCCGAGCCAAGCCAAGCCGAGCCAAGCCAACCAAAGCCAAGCCAAGCCAGACAAGCCAAGCCAAGCCAGGTCAGAGGACACGCCCAGCCAAGCCAAGCCAAGCCAAGCCACACCTTTGCAAGGGGACAGGGCCGAGCCACACCTTTGCAAAAAAAAAAACCCGGACCCCTCTAACACGCAAAACCCTAAACGGATCTTGCACATTCGCCCTGAAGGTCCCCCCCCCCCTCCGGCGGCATGGAAAGGTCGCCTCTTCGAGCTGTTCGAGGGCGAGGATGATGGAATTGGCGCCCATCGGATCCACCACCTCTTCTTAAGGGTTTAGGGTTTAGGGTTTAGGGCTCAGGGTTTGAGGTTTAGGGTTTAGGGCTTAGGGTTTAGGGCTTAGGGCTTAGGGTTTAGGGCTTGGGGTTCTTCACGGGGAATCAGGGAACTTCAGAGCAGAGGGGACGAAAGCCAGGTCCCCGCAGATGCGGCTGTCTGTGGACATATCTCGAGGATCCCGGGGTTTGAGTGTCCGACTTGGCACGAACAGCAAAACTCATCACGGCTTCTCTCAAGGGGTTTCAAGGGTTTAGGGCTTCAGGTTTTGGGGTACCAAGAGAGGTCCATGTATCTTGAATCAACTCCCACATCCCGAGCTGCTTTGTCCTAGAAAAGCTGAAGCCCGCGCGTTGGGCTTGCGAAAGGCAAACTCCAGAAGTTCTTTGGCTTTCTGCAGCCTCGGACGAGGGGGCAATGCGATTAGGGACCACAAAGTCATGCCTGCTTTTGTTTAGGGTTTAAGGTTTAGGGTTGAGGGTTGGGGGTTGAGGGTTGAGGGTTGAGGGTTGAGGGTTGAGGGTTTAGGCTTTTGCGCTCCAGGGAGACGACTGCGCACATGAGATATGGGCTTCCCGAGGGGCTCTTGCTACAGCCGCTTTTTCAAACAGGGTGGGTAGTTGGATATGTTCAGGGTTTAGGGGGGGGGGGGGGCCTTTTACACAATCCTGAGCTGAACAGCTGATCGTTGGCATCGAGTCCCATCACTTCACATGCGGCATGCGGGTCATGGCTAGGGAGCCCTCTTCTAGGCCCAAAGCCCTGAGCCGAACTAAAGCCCTAAACACTTACAAACCCTAAACTCATAGGAGCAGAAACAACCCTGCATAAACCCAAATCCCCGAAACCCTAAATCCAAGAAGATTCTGAAGCCCTAAAACCGAAATCACCTAAACCCCAAAGCCCTCTCAGGACCGCGGCTTCTCCTGGAGCATCCATGGAGCCTCCAGGCCGAAGCCTTTTCAGAGAGGGTTGAGGGGTTGAGGGGTTGAGGGGTTGAGGGGTTGAGGGGTTGAGGGGTTGAGGGGTTGAGGGGTTGAGGGGTTGAGGGGTTGAGGGGTTGAGGGTTTGAGAAGTTCTAGGGTTTAGGGGTTTAGGGGCTTGGGGTTCAGGGGTTTAGGGATTTAGGGGTTTAGGGTAGGGCTCCTACCCTTGCTGTGCTTGCCGGGCGCAAGCCGAAACCCTAAACCCTAGACCCTAAACCCTAAGCCTCTGACAATGTGGCGAACTATAAGCAAAAAAGACGTGTCTGATGGCTTCCCCAGATATCCAAACCCTCCATCGCCTTCATATGGCCTGGCCATACGGCAACCACCCCCCCCCCCAAACAAAAAACTAAATTAAAGGACCGGATCACCCCACATGCAAATTTATCTATTGAGAAAGAGTAGAGAGGTGCGCGAGTGAGTGCGTGGGTGAGTGTAAGTGTGAATGTGTGTGTGCTCGTGTGTGTGTGTGTGTGTGTGTGTGTGTGTGTGTGTGTGTGTGTGTGTGTGTGTGTGTGTGTGTGTGTGTGTGTGTGTGTGTGTGTGTGTGTGTGTGTGTGTGTGTGTCTGTGTGTGTGTGTGTGTGTGTCTGTGTGTGTCTGTGTCTGTGTCTGTGTCTGTGTCTCTGTCTGCGTGTGTGTCTGTGGCTGTGTCTGTGTCTGTATCTCTCCGTGTGTGTGTGTGTGTGTGTGTGTGTGTGTGTGTGTGTGTGTGTGTGTGTGTGTGTGTGTGTGTGTGTGTGTGTGTGTGTGTGTGTGTGTTGTTGTGTGTGTGTTGTTGTGTGTGTGTGTGTGTGTGTGTGTGTGTGTGTGTGTGTGTGTGTGTGTGTGTGTGTGTGTGTGTGTGTGTGTGTGTGTGTGTGTGTGTGTGTGTGTGTGTGTGTGTGTGTGTGTGTGTGTGTGTGTGTGTGTGTGTGTTTTGTGTGTGTGTGTGTGTGTGTGTGTGTGTGTGTGTGTGTGTGTGTGTGTGTGTGTGTGTGTGTGTGTGTGTGTGTGTGTGTGTGTGTGTCTGTGTTTGTGTGTGTGTGTCTGTGTGTGTGTGTGTGCGCGGCAAGGGTGCAAGGCCCCGAAGCACCGCGCCTGTCCCACGATATTTGCGAGGTTGTCGACGAGAAAAGACAAAAACATCCCCGTGTCTTCACGCGCGCGGAACTCCGTTACCATGCTATTTGCGCCCAGATGTCCGTTACCATGCTATTTGCGGTGTTTTTCAAGCGCCCAGATGTCCGTTACCATGCTATTTGCGGTGTTTTCAAGCGCCCAGATGTCCGTTACCATGCTACTTGCGGTGTTTTCGAGCGCCCAGACGTCCGTCACCGTGCTATTTGCGGTGTTTTCAAGCGCCCAGATGTCTGTTACCATGCTATTTGCGGTGTTTTCAAGCGCCCAGATGTCCGTTACCATGCTATTTGCGGTGTTTTCAAGCGCCCAGATGTCCGTTACCATGATATTTGTTTGCGGTGTTTTCATGCGCCCAGATGTCCGTTACCATGCTATTTGCGGTGTTTTCATGCGCCCAGATGTCCGCTACCATGCTATTTGCGGTGTTTTTCAAGCGCCCAGATGTCCGTTACCATGCTATTTGCGGTGTTTTTCAAGCACCCAGATGTCCGTTACCACGCTATTTGCGGTGTTTTCAAGCGCCCAGATGTCCGTTACCATGCTACTTGCGGTGTTTTCGAGCGCCCAGACGTCCGTCACCGTGCTATTTGCGGTGTCTTCAAGCGCCCATGTCTGTTACCATGCTATTTGCGGTGTTTTCAAGCGCCCAAATGTCCGTTACCATGCTATTTGCGGTGTTTTCAAGCGCCCAGATGTCCGTTACCATGATATTTGTTTGCGTTTGCGGTGTTTTCATGCGCCCAGATGTCCGTTACCATGCTATTTGCGGTGTTTTCATGCGCCCAGATGTCCGCTACCATGCTATTTGCGGTGTTTTTCAGGCGCCCAGATGTCCGTTACCATGCTATGTGCGGTGTCTTCAGACGCCCAGGGCGTCCGCGGCGTACTACGTCTGTACTACAAAAAGTCGACTTTCCAGCCACGGAAGCTCCGGATGTCCCCGGCGTACTACTTAGAGGGTCGGTGCAGAGCGCGCGCGCGGCAACGGCCCAGGGCCCCTAAGTGCCGCGCCTGCCAGCACAAACAACACCTGTGTCCCGCCTGCCAGCGTTTCGCGAGCCCCCGAGCGCGCGCGCGGCAAAGGTCCAGGGCCCCTAAGTACCGCGCCTGCCAGCACAAACGACACGTGTGTCGCGCCTGTCAGCGTTTCCCGCGGCCCGAGCGCGCGCGCGGCAACGGTCCAGGGCCTCTAAGTACCGCGCCTGCCAGCACAAACGACACGTGTGTCGCGCCTGTCAGCGTTTCCCGCGGCCCGAGCGCGCGCGCGGCAAGGGTCCAGGACCTCCAAGTACCCCTCTAAGCACCGCGCCTGCCAGCACAAACGACACGTGTGTCGCGCCTGCCAGCGTTTCCCGCGGCCCGAGCGCGCGCGCGGCAAAGGTCCAGGGCCTCTAAGTACCGCGCCTGCCAGCATAAACGACACGTGTGTCGCGCCTGCCAGCGTTTCCCGCGGCCCGAGCGCGCGCGCGGCAAGGGTCCAGGGCCTCTAAGTACCGCGCCTGCCAGCAGAAACGACGCATGTGTCGCGCCTGCCAGCGTTTCCCGCGGCCCGAGCGCGCGCGCGGCAAAGGTCCAGGGCCTCCAAGTACCGCGCATGCCAGCAGAAACGACACGTGTGTCGCGTCTGCCAGCGTTTCCCGCGGCCCGAGCGCGCGCGCGGCAAGGGTCCAGGGCCTCCAAGTACCGCGCCTGCCAGCAGACACGTGTGTCGCGTCTGCCAGCGTTTCCCGCGGCCCGAGCGCGCGCGCGGCAAAGATCCAGGGCCTCTAAGTACCGCGCCTGCCAGCACAAACGACGCGTGCGTCGCGCCTGCCAGCGTTTCGCGCGCGGCAAGGGTCCAGGGCCTCTCAGTACTGCGCCTGCCAGCACAAACGACACGTGTGTCGCGCCTGTCAGCTTTTCCCGCGGCCCGAGCGCGCGCGCGGCAACGGTCCAGGGCCTCTAAGTACCGCGCCTGCCAGCACAAACGATGCATGTGTCGCGCTTGCCAGCGTTTCCCGCGGCCCGAGCGCGCGCGCGGCAAAGGTCCAGGGCCTCCAAGTACCGCGCCTGCCAGCAGACACGTGTGTCGCGTCTGCCAGCGTTTCCCGTGGCCCGAGCGCGCGCGCGGCAAAGATCCAGGGCCTCTAAGTACCGCGCCTGCCAGCACAAACGACGCGTGTGTCGCGCCTGCCGCGCGCGGCAAAGGTCCAGGGCCTCCAAGTACCGCGCCTGCCAGCAGAAACGACACGTGTGTCGCGTCTGCCAGCGTTTCCCGCGGCCCGAGCGCGCGCGCGGCAAAGATCCAGGGCCTCTAAGTACCGCGCCTGCCAGCGCAAACGACGCGTGTGTCGCGCCTGCCAGCGTTTCCCGCGGCCCGAGCGCGCGCGCGGCAAGGGTCCAGGGCCTCTAAGTACCGCGCCTGCCAGCACAAATGACACGTGTGTCGCGCCTGTCAGCGCTTCCCGCGGCCCGAGCGCGCGCGCGGCAACGGTCCAGGGCCTCTAAGTACCGCGCCTGCCAGCACAAACGACGCATGTGTCGCGCCTGCCAGCGTTTCCCGCGGCCCGAGCGCGCGCGCGGCAAAGGTCCAGGGCCTCCAAGTACCGCGCCTGCCAGCAGACACGTGTGTCGCGTCTGCCAGCGTTTCCCGCGGCCCGAGCGCGCGCGCGGCAAAGATCCAGGGCCTCTAAGTACCGCGCCTGCCAGCACAAACGACGCGTGTGTCGCGCCTGCCAGCAGAAACGACACTGCGTCATGTGATTTGATGCGTGACACCGCGTCATATGCGTGATGTGATGCGTGATGTGCGTGATCGTGATGTGGCGTCATGTGCGTGATGGTACGTCATGTGCGTGATGTGATGCGGCGTCATGTGCGTGATGGTACGTCATGTGCGTGATGTGATTTGATGCGTGACACCGCGTCATGTGCGTGATGTGATGCGTGATGTGCGTGATCGTGATGTGATGCATGATGCGTGCTGTGCGTGATGCTGCGTCATGAGGAACAGGAAGAGGAGGACGGGGAGGAGGAGGAGGAGGAAGAGGAGGAGGAGGAAGAGGAGGAGGCGGGACAGCCCCAAAAGTAAGAACCCCACACAAAGATGTGGGGAAAAATAAGTGAGCTTACGAAAATAAGGTACCTCGAAAATAGAAACCCAAATGGACTCCAACAAGGTACCCCTACTTTCGGAAACCCCCACAATTTTCCCTAACCCCAAACTAGGATGGCCCTTAAAACCCCCCTGGAAAATATTCCCAGCAAAAACCCCCAAAAGCCTGCACCCTAAACCCAAAAAAACCACTAAAACAATTCGCTAAAACCCGAAGCCCCCAACGCAAACTCTCAACTCCTGAACTCCTCAATCCCCCCCGCCCCTAAACCCTAAACCCTAAACCCTAAACCCTAAACCCTAAACCCTAAACCCTAAACCCTAAACCCTAAACCCTAAACCCTAAACCCTAAACCCTAAACCCTAAACCCTAAACCCTAACCCTGAACCCTGAACCCTGAACCCCTAAACCCGCCGCCTCCTTGTGGTAAGAGCCAGAGCGCTGCCAGCCGGGCCATGGTGGCTTCCGAGGGGCATCCGCATGGGGCACCGCGAGCTTCGGTTTAAGGGGGCTTCGGGCGGTTTAGGGTTTAGGGTTTAGGGTTTAGGGTTTAGGGCTTAGGGCTTAGGGCTTAGGGCTTAGGGCTTAGGCTTAGGGCTTAGGGCTTAGGGCTTAGGGCTTAGGGCTTAGGGCTTAGGGCTTAGGGCTTAGGGCTTAGGGCTTAGGGCTTAGGGCTTAGGGCTTAGGGCTTAGGGCTTGGGCTTCAAGGCTTCAGCGTCTCATGTAGGCCCTCAGGGCCGAAAAGTTTAGGGTAGCTAGGGTTTAACGAGTTTTGGGCTGAGGTTTGATGTTTTTGGATAACTTAAGAAGGTCTGAAGTCTGAGGACGGTGGTTTGGAGCTGCCACAACATCGAGGCGCCCAGTGCTTCGCGCTGAAGCAGCTGCGCAGCGGCACGTGCACATCCCAAAAAACCCAAGCACGATTCCGGGATGAGGCCGTCCGGTCGAGAAAAAAAGAACATCAGCTACAACGCCACTTCTTGGTCGTGAGGCACTGAAGATTGCACCTGCCAACCTCTAAAGACGAAGAGCAGGAGCCCCACTGAAGATTGCACCTTCCAAACCTCTAACGAGCAGGAGCTCCAGGCATTTTACGCGATCCGTGGCCGAGAATTGCTCCTTGAGCGCGTCTGAAAATCGAACATGTCTGAGGCCAGCAACTCTGTACGGGTCCTTGCGTCGCAACCTCTAAGTTCTATTGTAACTTGTAACCCTAAACCCTAAACCCTAAACCCCAAACCCTAAACCCTCTGAAACCTTACACCCCTATCGATATCCCTCTTTCGGTGAGGCTGGCGCAGGGCCACGCGGAACACGCTGCCCTCGCAGGGAGCTCGAACTCGCTGCAGGGGGCAAGAAGATACTATGGTTCGGGTATGCCACGGACCTTGAGAAAGCAGGTCACGAGGAAGGGTCCCTGTGAGAAATATACTTACTTCATGGACAAATAGCTGCATGCCGAAATGGCCAGAAAGGCATGGACACCCGAGTTGAAAGAATATGTGCGGCGTTGTGCAAGGCACTTGGCACTTTGTTTTTCGCTTCTCACAAGCCGGTCGGGGCCTGTGGCGGCCCTTTCTTGACCAGCTCTCACATCACAAATGCTCGGAACATTGCCCGCTTACCTTGGCACCAGGCATGCTAGGGGTACCTTTGGTGTACCTCCCAAACAGGACCACAATTCAGGAACATACAGTCAAGGCCTGAAACCACAGCGGGGGGCAACGATTACGATGTGGAGTGACCCTGTGATTTCGCGGGGGACGGGTTGGAGCCGCCTAGTGCTGCCCTGCAGCCAGCCATCATCATCATCAATCTTCGCCTTCTTCAGCTTCTTGACCTCAGCAGGAGCTAGGCCCCGGCAGCTAGGCCCAAGGGCTGGGTGGGTGAGGGGGGGGAGGAAAGAGAACAAAATCAAGAAATTCGCGCAGGTTTCCAAAATCCGTACAGGTTGGTAGAGGAGAAGAGGCACCACGCTCTTTTGATTCCCTACTAATTGACCACAAGGGTTTAGGATTTTTTAGGGTTTTAGGGCTGCAGATTTCAGAATGAGAGCCTTACCCTAAACCCTCAAACCCTCAAACCCTCACACCCTCAAACCCTGAAACCCTCAAACCCTCAAACCCTCAACCCTCAAACCCTAAACCCTAAACCCTTCACCACGAACGGATCATGCCCAGCGGCCTCCTCCTCGCTGATTCCTTGCGCCCTCTTCATGCTCTCCAGGAGCTCCTGGCACTTTCCGAAGCTTGGAGGGCTTAGGGTTTAGGATTTAGGGTTTAGGGTTTAGGGTTTAGGGTTTAGGGTTTAGGGTTTAGGGTTTAGGGCTTAGGGCTTAGGGTTTACGATGTAGGGTGTGGGGTTTAGGGTTTGGGGCTTAGGATACTTAGGATTTAGGGATCTAGGGATCGAGGGGTTTAGGGTTGCCCCAAGCTTTACAGCCCGCTAAAACTTGACACCCCGAAGCACGCCGAAGTTTGCCCCAATAGCCTCTCAACCCTCAACCCTTAACCTAAACCGTAAACCCTAGACCGTAAACCCACGAAGCCCAAAACCCCTGCCACCATCAACCTAAATTGAGCCGGGGCCACAGACCGGCCGCCCGTGTCGTCGTCCTCGACATCCTCCATGCCTTCACGGAAGGGTTCACAGTTGTTTAAAGCCTTGGATGCTTGCAGGTTTTTTTTTGTGCTTTACGTCTGAGGGTACATGGGGAAGAGGGATGTACAGGCTTGATGTTTTCAGGCATGGGGCAGCGAAAAAAAACACCTCGAGAGTTGGGACACCCTTTATCTTCCGGCCCCAAACCCTACAGCCAAAAAGGAAGCACGCACATCACACCCCCAAGTTTCGGGAGTAGTCGGGTGCAGGGCTTGTGGCTTAGGAGGGTTTAGGGAAGGCCCGCCCCTAGACCCCAACTCCCCCCAGATCCCGGAAGCCCAAAAAACCCTCCGCACACTTTGGCTAACCGAAATGGCGGCCTGCGTCCGCTGACAGCTGTGCCTTCAGGCCCTCGCTAACATTGCCTCTCTCCTGTGGGGATTTTGGGTGAGGAGAGATGGGGTTTAGGGTTTAGGGTTCAAGGGTTCAAGGCTTTGGAATTTAGGCCACTGTAAACGCAAAAACCCTAGGCACCCTAAGCCCTCTCTGAGCGTGTCTTCTAAGTTTAGGGTTTTAGGGGCTTAGGGTTTAGGTGGGTTTGGGGTTTACCAGCCCCACTCTCCCCCCCGCGGCCCCTCCTGCGAAGCGGTTCCAGCAACCTCAATCGCTTTGGCCAAGGCAACGCCCACTGACAGGCCTTGCGGCGGGAGGGTTAGGGTTTAGGGTCTCGGGCTTTAGGGTTTAGGGCGCGTCTTCGTCCTTGTGGGGCTCAGGGTCTACAGCTTGCGGTAGTGCAGGTTAGGGGGATTTCAGTGTTCAGTGGGAGGGCTACGGTTTCAAGAGTCTGGGCGGAAGATGTCAGGAACAGACCAGGCAATGTCCAAGATCATGCTGGGAGACACGAAAACGCCTCACAGGGTTTGGGATACACGCGTGCTACGGAGAGAGTGATGTTGTCTTCTGAAAGAGTCAGCGCCACTACCTGCTCGAGGCCGCCGGGGAGTTAAGATATAGTTGTTGACTCATTAGCCGAAACCTCTCGCGCGCCTTTGTCGGGGGAAGACGCACAATGGCGTGGGCTGATCCACATGATGGACCCTGCGTGATGCTCTTTAGGATGAAACAAGAAGATGCCCTGAAGTAAGGGTTTTGCCGGCATCCAGTCCCTCGTCATAATTAGGCCCCAGATCCCTGAACTCTGGAGTCCTCAACCCTGAGTTATTGAATCTCGCTGCCCTGATTAGATTGAAACCTAAACTCCAAACCAGAAACTCTCGCCCCCCCCCCCCCAAATGCCTCCACACCGCAACCCTAAGGCCCAAAACCCTAAACCCTCAAGCCTAAACCCTAATCCAAAAACCTAAACACACGGGGGAACTGCCTGGCCTGCTACAATCGCGAGAAGCGTCGGGATCGCCACCGGATTGTCCACAATCTCTCCATCGCCTCCTTGTGGGTCGGAGGGTTTGTGCGGGGCCTCACCTTTAGGCTTCGAAGGTTTATGTACCCTGGATTTAGTTTTTTGTTTTTTGGGGTTTGTTTACAGGGTTTACTGGGTTTACACGGTTCACAGGGTTTTGGGTTTAGGGTTTAGGGTCTTGTTTACATGTCAAGAGGACCGTCCGGCTGCAAAGAGGAAGGCCCCCCCAAACCCTACACCCTAAACCCTAAACCCTAAACCCTGAACCCTGAACCCTAAACCCTAAACCCTAAACCCTAAACCCTGAACCCTAAACCCTAAACCCTAAACCCTAAACCCCCTCTTACTATGTATATTTAAACCCTAATGGGCTTCGTCGGCATGTGGATTTTTTCTGGCCCTAAACCCTGACGCCCTTTCGTCGGCAAATGGTTTTTTTCCATGCGGGGGGGCCCTAAACCCTGACCCCCTTCGTCGGCAAATGGTTTTTTTCCACCCGGGGGGGCCCTAAACCTAAACCCTCACCCCCTTCGTCGGCAAATGGCTTTTTCCCATGCGGGGGGCCCTAAACCCTGACCCCCTTCGTCCGCAAATGGTTTTTTTCCACGCGGGGGGCCCTAAACCCTGACCCCCTTCGTCGGCAAATGGTTTTTTTCCATTCGGGGGGGCCCTAAACCCTGACCCCCTTCGTCGGCAAATGGTTTTTCCTTTTTTCCCCCCCAATGGCATTTGGGGCATAGGGTTTAGGGCTCTTAGGGTTTGGGGCATAGGGTTTAGGGCTGTAGGATTTGGGGCATAGGATTTGGGACATAGGGTTTAGAACTCTTGGGGTTTGGGGCACAGGGTTTAGGATTTGGGGCATAGGGTTTGGGGTCTATTATGGGCCTTAGATTTCGGGTTTTGGACCAATTGGACTTTGAGCTTTAAGCCTACCGGGAAAGTATTGAGTGAACTTTATATGTTCTCAATGTTATGGGTTTCTTGGGTGGGTGGTTTTTTTTCCAATGCTTGACAAGCTGCTTGACTAGTGAATGCTTGGACTTGAGATGCTGAACCCTAAACCCTAAACCCTAAACCCTAAACCCTAAACCCTAAACCCTAAACCCTAAACCCTAAACTCTAAACCCTAAACCGGTGTTTTTTGAGGTCGGCACGGGCCACCAGCGGCTCCCGTGCTTCCAAGGCGCCTCCTTGCCACATCGGGAGCATTCATGAGGGAATGTTAGGGTATAGGGTATAGGGTATAGGGTATAGGGTTTAGGGTTTAGGGTTTAGGGTTTAGGGTTTAGGGTTTAGGTTTTAGGGTTTTAGGGTTTAGGGTTTAGGGTTTAAGGTTTGGGGTTTCGGGGGTTGAGGGTTTGGGGTACAGGGTATAGGGTTTAGGGAAAAGGGTCTAGGGTTGAGGGTTTAGGGTCTATGGGTATAGTTGAAGTTTA